ACTTTCATCCGCATAAATTTACCGTACGAGTAGTCGGTTGGCTGCTGTGTTAAACCTAACCCGTGTTGCGATGGATTCAATTCTCATTCTTCAATTTGCATTGTTCGACGCACTTCGATTTTATTCGACCGCACACACTAACTTCGATTATCCAGTTCTCGGCCCACAGGCCATTAGAGCCAAATCTAAATCGCCCAACGAAAGCATGTGAAGAATGTAATCGAATTTCGTAGCAGAAGTTGACTTGCGACATTAGGAATACTTCAGTCAAAATAGAATTAAATTTTCTTGTCTCAATATAGTTTATATACAAGTAATATTTTGGAATATAATATCTCTTTTTATAATTGTCATATGTTATTTGATGAACCTGCAGTACAGTGTAGTTTACTGGCAGCCCTTGCGAGCGTGAAGGATGAAGTAGTGCTTGTACTACGTAGTAATCATTAAGGCTTTACCTATTTGAGCATGACCGCTTGGTTATTGCGTTAGTACTAGTAAGAACTTGCGGTTGTCGTTGATGTGCAGTCTCTAGTTACGCTGTACCTATCCTATCATCGTTATTTTAATTACGTGAAGCAAGCTTGAAATTTGTATGCAACAATTGTATTAATTCCTCAAATATTTCTGTGTCCGAAGCTCTGTCCGAATGGTTTTCACGTCCGAGTCGTTATGGTATGGGCATTTACTACAGAGTACTTTCGCAAACGCCAGTTCTATTCTATCCGCAACCTAAAATTTAGCCCCCAGATAGGTTGCAACCTTGTGCAGAGCGAATTTCGCAAATCGTCCGCTGCAAATTGGTTTTATCCAGAAAACGTTATCCAATCAAACGTGGTTATTATTCTTGGCCATCAATCAACAAGAGGTCTAATAATGATGCTAGCTGGAGTCCCGCGGTAAATGATACTTCCAACGCATACAAAGGCGAGAATTGTACGCCTACAGTCGGATTGAAGCTTACTAGTTGGATTCTCGCCCAGCACCAATGAAGCGTTACCATCCTACCCACTTACAGCATCATTGTACAGATAATCTGGTTTCGGGGTTTCGCCCTCGAGGTCGACGAAAGACTTCACGTCATTCTCGTGCCGGGACAAAGTAGTGAGGTCCTTCGAGAGTATGTGAGGACACCGTGTTCAGAGTGACGTCCTTCTACAGTACCACAAATGACATACTCATGAGACTCTAATGCGATTCACCTCGCCATCCCAGGCTGTCGCCATGGATGGTATCGGTATGATCAAACAAAACACAAGCGCACCCAGTTACACTAGAAAACCCACCATATATGCGGATACAGCAAATGGGGAATCCGCTGCAAAATTGGCAAATTTTACAGCGGCTTTAATTATTCATAACAGGTTCTGTCAGTTCTATCCTTATGAATTTGAGAGGATAGGTTGCGGATAAAATAGAACTGACGTTTGTGAAATCTGTCTATTGTTTGTTACCTGTAAACACATCCTGGAAGTTGATATTCGCGCAAAAGCGATGCTGCAACGTTTCAAATTTCAAAATGAGTCAATTTTACCATGTGACTTGTGCTTAACTGTCTACTACAGTAGTACAGTACCAGTATTGGGCAATGTCGGCGACCTAGAACGATGGCTATGCCGACCCACTTGCCCATCCGAAGCCCCACCACAATCACGGTCGCCCCCTGTACACGACACTGCTGTGTTAGTGGTGGTTCGTGGTACAAATATATTGCCACGTCGTTGCAGATTAGTTCAGAGGCAAAGGGTCCAACACAAAGTACTAGCAAGTGTTTTGAGTGTACTTAACATCGTACTGCACCTTGAAACCTGTGATTTAGTGGTTGGGATCCTATTGACCACCCCTCAAAATGGTTTTTGGACAAAATAAAGTGCAGTTGTTATAGGATCAAGCTGTTGTAACGGACCCATTAGACAACCAATTAAAATCCCAGATAAACGGGGTGGCTGGATCCTGCTGGGCAGCACTGTATGTACAGTACTTGTAGTATTGGCCAGCCAAAATATGATTAATTAATATTAACATGAGGCAAAGTAATGTCCACAGAAACCGGCGCAAATCTCTACTCTTTGATTGGCTCACAGGTTGGTGGCGACGACCAACCACTCCACTTGCGTCCGTTTCGATGGTTGATTGGCTCATAGATTAGTGGCGACGACCAACCACTCTACTTGCGTCCGTTTCGATGAGTAACGAACTCTCCTCTGGTCTATGCTTTCCGACGCAAGTGCCAACGCGACATTAGCCTTTCGAAGCGTTGTTGCAAACGTCGACGAAGGGACTCAAAGCATTTCGCACAGGTTCCAAAAGGGGATTTAGAATTAGAGTTAGTATAGGGTTAGTTTAGTTAGTGAGTAGTTCAGGTCTAGTTTTGTCTCCAACTGCTCAATACACCACCAAGCTTTGCCCGGGAGTCCACTGCTCCCCCATTGTGTTTATGTTGAGAAGTTGCACGGAGGCGCGTGTTGGGACAAAGAATTCTTTAGTGCATCAAGACTAGCACTCATCAAGGATGTCCCAGATAGGACAGGACCAACCGCGCCAGGGCCACAGCGACGACACCCAAAGAGGCACGAGCAACGGACCGCGCGAACGGGGGTGCACACCCAGTCCCCAACTGCCCCAAGTTGAAGGGCATCAGTCAGGAACAAGTGCGCCAGTGGCTGCTCGACCGGGACACATACGAAGAAGACCTGCGGGCCGTATGCATGCGTCGAAACCTCGAAGTGTGGAAGTACCGCGAAGGATGGAAGGAGTGTTTCGAAGACAAGAGACTGTTGAAGCAGTTCATGATCATGCGCAAACTACGAGGCGATCCCAAGGAGCTCGACGAAGCTGTACTCAAACAGAGCTACGAAAGATCGTCGACGAACCCAAGAACGGCGTTGAAGCGGACATTCCGCTGCTGTTCCACGGGATCCACATGGACATGAAGGACGACGACGGTCTCATGGACATGAAGGACGACGACTGTCTCAGCCGCGTGTGCAAATTCTTGGCGGACTGCGCCGAACGAATCGAAGCACGCGTCATGAAAGGACATTTGAAGAAGCCCGAGATGCGGAAGAAGATCTTCAAACGGCTGCTAGAAGTGGTGGACCCAGAGCCTGTCCGAGATGCGTGCGTCCTCGACATGGAGAAGGTGTGGCATCCGGTGGAATTTTCGTGGGAATCCATCAGCGAGTTGGTAATGCACCATGCGCAGGGGCACCAGAGTTTTTAGTCGACATATGGCGCTGGACGTAAAAAGCCGGGCTATGAAGCCAAAGAAGTGAAGAACAAAATAGATCATCGAAAGGATGATTACAGTCGACAAGAACTCCGCGACGTGCGCCCACGACGTGACGACCACGAGCGAAACCGCAGTCAAGGGCGCGACAGACGCGATCGATCAAGTAACCGGGCGAACCACGAAACCATCACTCAGGCTACCCCTCGCTATATCGCGACCGAGACGGTGGTCGTCCGTACGAGCGACGCGATGAAAACCGCAGTTCCCCTTATGGACCGCCCGATAGCAAACCCAAGCAGCAAGTGGGATTTGCGATGCGACGTGGACGAAGCCCCGCTCCATCCCATGGAGGAATTTTGTACGACCGCGATGGGAAACGAGACGACGGGTGGGGACATACACTCCGGGGCAACAGCCAGGAGAAAAACCGTGTAAAGTCGAACTGGTCCCGCGGGAACAGCGTCGAAAGACCTAAGGCCGTTGAACAAAGCTCAAACCAGGCTTACCCTTTGATGTTCGGTTAAATTGATATGGACGACTACGATGAGGATGTAAACCTCGTGACAGCTGCCACACTTGGCGGATACGTGAACCCTTTCAAAAACCGATGGGAATCACAGAATTTCCGGGTGTTGGAAGAACAAAAAAGAGAAGCGAAAAAACGCAAAGCCAAAGGGCTAGTGGAGACCGAGGACTTCATCCCACTGACGAACGACAGCGAAGGTGAAGTCGACGAACCGGACGTGATTCGGCGAAAGGGACGAACGATCCTAAACGCCAAATCAGCTGGGGCTAACAAAACTGTGCGGCGCGTCTATGGCTGGGAGTTTAAAATCAAACAACATGAACCAAGGGAAATCATGCCGACGAGGTGTCTGAAGTGCGGCGATGCAGCCCATCTATACGACCCGGCGCATTGGCCGAGGACAGAGCCAAAATCAAGTACGAATGGGCGCTGGTTGCAAAGCGCATGCAGAACGGAACGACGCTGAAATCCAAAGCTAAGAAGCTCCGGGACAGTCTCATGACAGCCAACAAGAAGTGGCGGGAAGAACAGGAGAAAAGCCGCGAGGCGAAGGCAAAGGAGCCTGAGAAAAAGAAGCTCCGACGAATGCTGGAAAGTTCCGCCGACCAAAGCGTGGCCACCATCAACGGAATGTTGGACGTGCCCTACTGCCCTGACAATGGAAGCGATGTGGGAATTATTTCTACCGCCATGGTCAAGACACTGCGCAAGCTGGACAAAACAGTTCAAACGACGCAGCTGCCCAAAGCGTGGGTTGGAAGCGCAGTGGGGAACCTACCCGTTATAGCGAAAACAACGGTGGAACTGCGAGTCACTCTGAGCACGGCCGCCGGCTAAGTCAAGCTGCCTGGAAAGCAGCTATTTTACGTGGTCGACGACAACGACGAACTCATTATTTGCAAGTACGCCCTGATGTCGATTGGACTCGACATGGATCGACGACTCGAGCAAGTGGCCGTGCGCCAAACCCACGACGACGGCGACGACATTGGCGACCCCGGCGAAGACGAAGACATCGCATTCGGTGTCAGTGTGCGGGGGTTACATGCAAGCGATGAACAGCTGGACGTGGAACACATGCAAGCAGCAGAACAGCTGTACAAGATTGCGATCACATCTGCGAACGCCGTCGACCAAGAACAGACTGTGGCGCTCAAGCAATTACGAGGAATCGTCGTCGACGCCGCCGCCAAAGGAGTATGGCGAACCAAGTTCAGAGGCACAGACCTCCCGGCGAATGTGAAGGCAATGGAAATACGACTCAAGGCGGATGCACGCCCCAATCGTTGCAAACCTAGAAAGGTGAACCCCTTGACGGGCATGTTCATCGAAGCGTTTGGCAAACAGCTGGAGCAAGACCAAGTTATTTATGCAAACAACTCAAGCTCCCATTGCAGTCCCGTCAACCCGGTTATGAAACCGGAAGGAAAGAAACTCGTCAAGACAAGCGATAAGTGGACAATCGAAGAACTGTTGCAGTACTTTCGTCTTACGATCGACTACAGAATTATCAATAGCCAAACGATCCCACTCGCTGGCGCCATGCCGTTCCAGTTCCTCGTGTTAGAAAACGTCCGCGGCGCCAAGTACCTCGGCGTGTTCTACCTTACGAAAGGTTTCTTGGCAGCTACCACTCGAGAAGAACTCACAAGAACTGCTATCCTTTATGCTTGGCTACCGCATCATGACCCCAACGAGGGTTATGCAAGGCCATTGTGACTCGGCGCTATTTTCCCAGAACACCATGGCGGAATGTTTCAAGGACCTACTGTACAAAAACGTCCTTATCTGGATCGACGACATTTTGGTGTGTGCGAACACCATCGACGAGTATGTAAGCGTGATACGCGCCGTGCTCGACATATGCATCAAGTTCTGCCTGCGCTTGCACCCACACAAGAGCAAGCTACTGTGCAGCGAAATCAAATGGTGCGGCAGAATCATTGACGGCGACGGAGTACGCCAAGACCCTACGAGAATCCAAGCGCTGTGCGAGGCCCGTACCCAACCGATGCAAGTCAGCTGCAGCAATTCATCTGCGCAGTGAATTGGATATGCGACAGTATGATTGGCTTTGCCCACACGATCGACCCACTCCAAAAACGACTCACAGAAGCGTTGGTTGGAAAGAAATGAAAAAAAGAATCGCGACATCAATCACGATCAACCTGACCAAAGAAGAACGGAACAGTTTCAATGCAGTCAAAGAACTGATGCGAAACGCCGCTCAATTATGTCACCCACATGAAGACGCTGAGATGTGCCTGTTCACCGACGCCTCTGCATACGGCTGGTCCATCGTGGTCCCAAGTCCACGATTACGGCGACGACATCCCGATCCAAGACCAACAACATCAACTCCTCTCCTCGTATGCTAAAGCGGCATGTTCGACAGAACGCAAGTTAACTGGTCAGTCATCGAAAAAGAAGGCTACCCTATTGCGCGTGCCTGTGACACCCTCAAGTACCTGCTGCTACGACCCAAGGGTTTCCTCATGTATTGTGACCACAAGAACCTCATACGCGTCTTCGCGCCCCACGACGAGCTCAAGGGACACACGCGCGAGAAGCGGATCCGCTGGGCCGACATGATCGGCCAGTACCTCATCGACACCTCGGCACGCCAGATGCTGTGGGCAAACGTCGTCTTGGAGAGATTGAGCTACCATTCCATGTATGACATTCTAAACAAATAATGAAGGGTTGACGCACACTTATTGTCTCTGTTTGATGCACGCAGTCCATGATCAGGTGTCCTTGGTGCTCCACGTTCGCGATGCAAAATTTGAAAGTGCTAAAACTCTCAATCTTTACCATTGCAAAGGTATCTTATTTCTCCAGTATTTTGTGTTTCGTAAAGTGTTTCGTAAAGGGGATATTATCATGCAGCTTGTACTGATCAATGGCCGCCTTGCGTTCGCGGTAGTCATCAACAGTGTTCTTGTGCTGTTTTGGGAGCTTCTTCGGTCAGTTCTTGAAGACTGGGCGTCCAGTTGAGGGTCTTCTATCGGCTCGAGGAGTATCCGAAGTGTCCATGGGTGTTGCCAATATACTTCTAAAATGACATGTACGACTTTCAAAGCGTTTGCCGCCTTGACGAGCCAAAACTGAGTCTAAACCTGTCGAAATTATATAAATCGATATTTTATTCATTGCTGGAGTAGTTATTACATGCTGGAGGATATAATGGCGCCAAAGGAGAACCTGTATATATATATGAATGTTTGCCTGAGGCCAAATAATGTCACCCCATTTTTCGTTTTTTTTCAATTCTACTTGGAACAGGCTCTAATGCTAACAGGTGTCTGACTGAAATAAGCGTCCGACACGTATTACGCAAGACGGTACAGTACTTGGAAGAGGCTCTTTTGAACACTACTTGGAACAGTAGTTTTCAAAATGGGCATTATCCAATCAAAACGCTCCCCAACTCATTCCAAAATCCATTTTGCACATTGGGGTATTTTGAAAAATGGATTTTGAATTCATGACTCCATTTCATCCCATTTTGGACAACTCAGCTTTATCCCCAATGACTGGCTAATAATGGATGCCTCACTATCCAATCAATGATCCCAATCTCATTCCAACTTTTCAAAATTTGACATCATGCACTCGACCACTACCGTGTGGTTGCTGTCGTTGTTGCCGTTGGCGCCACCCTCATTTCGATCGACGGACGTAGCATCAACACTGTTGTCGTACCCAGTATCACGTGGCAGCAAGTCAAGTCCGACGGCACATACGATGGATGGATGGTTCACGCGCCACCTGCGCTGCACCCGCCACACCTTTCTGCGCATCACCGACAACACTGTGTTATTGACCAATCAGCATGCATTTTAGTCTATGATTTATGTCCAATCAATAATGGTCATAGAATGGATAGAAAATGGGATGAAATATTTTGTCACCCCATTTTTCGTTTTTTTTCAATTCTACTGGAACAGGCTACAAGCAGGTTAGAAATCCTTGCATAAAAATGACTGTTAAAATGCCCGGTGATCGTCTCATGGGACACGTTCATTATCCGGATGAACTCAACCCCCGTTCCCAAGGCCACGGCGCCAGCGGTGCCACGGCCACGGATTAAATGGGATGAAGAAACCATTGCGATGCATGACCTGGACCGAGGCACTCGCATGAAGATCGAAGAGCCCAATACTCCATACCATTACTACACCACCGGCGATGACGACATGGAAGGTGGCACTGGCGTGGAAATCACCGACGTGGCGTTGAAGGAGCACAACGCTGCCCATCCGGCCGACATTGCATCCATTGAGCTGTCGACGCATCATGGCAAGGGTCCCGTGTCTCCTACGCATAGTGCGTCCCACGGCACTGAGTTGAAATGGGATGAGTTGAATGCTCGATTGCAACAGCACCAGGACACCCACAAACCGAGCGAGTGGGACAGCGATTCTGACACGTCCACGACGTCTTCTAGCCGCAAGCACCCGGCGCCGCCCGGTGGCGCAGACAAGGCGTTCTCCCAGAAGCGAAAGCAGCATTACAACGAATTTGAGCGCATGAAGCAATGGCGGCTGCAGCATGCCAAGGACGACGAAAACGACAATGACGGCGAGGCATAACCTTTTGAATCTTGAAAAACGAAAAACAAAAACACACACAATCGGATGTATTAAAAATGACTGCCAAACTTTGTTCGACCCGACATGGAGCATTTCGGCGCGCTCTTGAGGTTGCTCAGCACCTGCGTGCCCACCGCCGCCTTCTGCTTGTACGCATTCGGTGCAGGGCCAACGTCGTGACTCATTCGCGCTCCAATCGGCGCTTTGTTGCGCCCCACGACGCTGAAAGAGTAGGCCGCTACAACACGAACACACAACTGTCAACGGCGAACGCACGGCTGGACCAAGAGCGTAGCCACGACAGACTGCCATGTCATATTCGGGCTAGGTACCGGAATTCGTAACCGTGGACACGACTTGTTTGCCCACGGCGACGTTGCCTGTGCTGTATTGTCCTACACGTGTAGACATTTGAGTGGACGTCCTTCTTAGCTGCCGCGATGTATGCTGTACCTACCTGGCCCGACGTCGGCCGTGGAGGTTTCCATGAGTGGTTTGCGGTTCACTTTGGAAAAACTGGTGGCTGTTGCGCTCTTGGACGTGGAGAGGACCTAGAGTATGTATCCTTGTTATGACGTGGCAGCCCACACGTGAATCGGGTGACGTGGTTCACGCTCAAAGAAGATCGAACATCATCGTACGGTCTTGGTGTTCAAGAGGCTTTCGGGGGTTTCGTACGCGCCAGGCCCGGGCGACCGATTCGTGCCGTCGACAGATTTTGACCATTTTTTGCCCAGCGAGTACTGCGGGGCAGTTTTTTCGTTTGGGTTGACAATGTGGGGACTGTAGTCGCCTACACATCGTTCCTCCCACCAGTCAGCTACCAATTCCAACGCCTTTTTCGAGCGTACGCCATGCACACACCATGCCTAACTCGAACAAGAGTGTACCTGGTCCTGGGCAGTTAGCTGCGGACTTCAAATCCGCTGTGGACCCAAATTTCTCTCGTCCGCTGATGGAGCACGCCGCGGCAGTCTTCATCGTCGACAACACCGGCTTCCCAATGGCCGTCGGCACTTGGTATGCCCCTGGCCCCTGATGCATACATGTATTTGGATGATGATCAATTCACCATCCTTCCAATGAAAGCTAGCGGTGGGTTGCATTGGGAGGTCGTACCGGTGACTGGGACCCGTCGCCGGCATCCCGCGGTCGACTGCTCGTGCCAAAGCATGTGGTGGGGGCCGTGCGTTTGCGAGAGTCCACTTGGTCGCCGCAAGCTGACTTGATGTCTTCGAAGCCAGTGGTGAGGCCCGCGGCAAGCAACTTGGACGGACTCGGTCGTGGACTGCGGGGGGGACTGACGGCCCCTTTCGTTGGGCTGTGACTCATGCTAGGTGCAGGGCGTGAGGTGAGCCAAGACGGGAGCACGTATTAGCTACACCACACTAAAACGAGTGCGACCTCCCCTCCGCTAAATATAGATCAACGGCATGTAAATCACATGTATCCCATGATATTTATATATATTTATAGCCCGCCTCGGTGTGGGGTAGTTTCGCTCAATGGTTATCAATGTGTGCACTACGTCGTCCTTCCCAACCAAGAGCTGGCTCATCACATAACACAACACGCAGTTCCCAGCAGCAGAATCGCCCGTAACATATACTAGTACATGATATGTCTATGTAGAAGGAATAGAAATATAATCGACTCCTAGCGACAATAGCCATATTCAAGTATTGCCTAGACATCTTTGGAAGTTTGATTCCGAACGAATGGTCCTATTAATATCTCATGGAATCTATGTACTGCGCGCGGCAAATAATGAGTTGCCGCTTAGTAGCCTGACGGCAGTCCATCGATCAGTACCAATCGTCCAATGCAAAAGAATCTAGCTTTAGGGCCAGGAGCACAACCCATCCAAATTGTCCACATTATAAAATGTCCCTGGTTATTATACGACGAGTGTGGTTCCACTGGGCCTATGATTCCTACTACTAGTGTTTCCAAGGCTGGACTGGCCTTGGTGGAGAATGAGGCCGTTGTGGCACCTGTCGCATAAAATCACGTTGGCCTGGTACTTGTGCACGACACACCACGCCGCGCTGCAGATGTGGCAGCTCACGGCGTCGCAGACATGGCACTTAGCGAACGGCGCGGCCACGCGGCACGTCGAGCACGTCGTGGGCAGCAACATCTTGGGTGATGGGGGCAGGACCATCAACGGCGACTCTGGGTCCACCAGGGCGTTGGCCATCGCTCGAAATACGCTCGTGGGCTGCGACGACGGTTTCGCAGCGTCGTTTCTTTGTGGTGGAGACGGAGCTCCGTCGGCGTCACCATCTTGGTGGTCGCTGGACGATGGACTTGCAGCTAGAGTCCACGTTCGACTCGTGTCCAAACAAGTATCGGATAAATCAATGGGACTTGGCTGACGCTGGCTGGCCGACGACTTTCGCCTCCTGGGAAGAGCCGACAAGACGACCTGCATCGCGCCATGCGCGTCCTTGACGAGTTGCTTGAGAACTTGCCGCGCCACGAACTGTGGCGTGTTACCTCTGAAATCGGCATGGACGAACGACAAGACGTCGATGCATCCTTGGGCGACGGAGGGCACGCACAAGTGCGTGAGCCGAGCCCACCCGCGAACGTAATTGGGTAGCGACGGGCAACACGCATGCTCCATTGACACGAGTGTATACGCCCACCCAAGCCGACCGGAAGCATCAACGAACGAGTCGGCGCGCTCGAGGCCACAGAAGTCGCGGTCGCTGATCACGGCCAAAGAGGACGGAAGACCGGCCCAACGGAACCCCGCGTGATGTCTTGATGGAGAAGATGGTGACGTTGTCGTCAATGCTGCGTCGTGTTGGGTGAGGTCGATCAGTAGATGCGAGCCGGAAAACCCCATTTGCGACGCGTATGACTCGTCTACGTTGACGCGTCGTAGAAACGACGACGAGAACGCGTCCACGGTGGTTCGCAGGCGAATCCGTTCGTGATGGAACGTGGCATGCGGTCGCGTGATATGTTTGGCGATGGTGGGGTCGTCCGTGAGGAGGGCCAACGCGGTCTGCACGCAATCTTGGAACGTCCGATGAGTCAACGAGGTCAGGTACTCCAGCTCGTACTGGTCGACGAGGTGGTGTCCACGCTTGAACGACGAGGATTCTGCTGGCGTTAATGCGCCAAACGTGGAAACACGATGCTGCATGATGAGCGTGGGGCTGTGCCGAATGCTTCTTGCTTGCTGTTCCGAGTTGCTGCCTTGCGGAGATCCCTCAATAAGGAACAGGTGGTAGCGTCAGTGTCAAGTGTACGGTACAGTACATTCACTCTCGTGAATGAGAATAGTCATTGTTCGCATGTTGTCAAGGTCGTACAGTACTACAGTAGTCCACGTCATACGCATCGTAGGACCACATGCTAGCCTGCATCTACCAGTCGTCTAGTGTTCGTACGATAGTACTACCTGGGAGTCATGTTAGTACCTGGCATTTCGAGTGATGGCTGCATTGGTCGTCACAGTAACACCAGTCTCCACACTAATTTTAAGTATTTGTATTCAAGGGAATTGGTGTGCGATGTTGTGATTGGTCAATCGGTGGAAGATGTTGTGGCCCATTTTTGAAATTGCGCGCCAAACCCCAGGAAGATCGTTTTCAAGGATGGGAAGGCACGACGATGCCCTAGCGAATCTGCACAAGAAACATGCCGAGGTCCAAGACATTGTGAACGACATGTAAGGGGTACATGCGATGTCCAATGTATGATGCTTCTCTTGATGTAGGCATGGGCAGTTGGTGGTGAAAGACGAGGAAGTACGTCAGCGAACCCACCAGATATCGATGCAACAAGAACACATGGAGCAACTGAAGCGTGAATGGGCCAGTGACTCTCAGTCGTTAAGACATGACATTGAGACGTACGTGGCATTGATTCGCGACAAAGATGATCAAATCCTCGAAACTCGAAGGCAATTGGTAGGCTTGTACTTTCCTGACTAATGACTGAACTGCAGCAGGGTGCTGCCAACCATGAGAACACAATCTCGCAGGAGACATTACGTGAACGTAAAGCGTTCATCACAAGTGTGCTTTCAGAGAAGGTACGGAACTTACATCCACCCACCTCCTTGTCTGATGCGAACCAATTTGTATGCCAGGAAATTTCATTCAAGTTTCAACTCCAAGAAATGCTTGATGCCGACGGAAGGGGGAAAGGCTGTGGGCGACAAGAAAAATTGGCCATCGATCAATTGGTTTGATAATCGCTCTTTATGGACGATGTTCGTTACTCTAGACTTGTAGGAACAAGTTCGCATGACGTCGAAATACTTAGACTCCTACGCGTCGGATATTACCAAAGCTATCGGCGAATGTACGTATCATTCTTTTCACCACGGACGGCCTTACTCATGTGACTGTACAATATTGTAGTGACGAGAGAAGTTCGATCGATAGAGGAGGTACAATCTTGCCTAGACATTACCACACTAACTTGGTGTAGGGTCAAGGCACATGCGAAGCTATGATGCTAATGCTATCCAGCAGCAAAGTTCAGCCCGATTGTGTGTCGACATCGTCCCAAAAGTCGTTGATTCAGTTGCTGTGTGATCAAGTGGGGGCGTTGCAATGCCAAACGATTGACCTCGGCAATAAATTGCAAACGTCTGAATCGCACCACCAAAAGTTGAATGACGATATCCACACCCTCCAGATTCGAATCCATCACATGGTATACGCGTGTATAGTTCATGTAGTTATGGGAATTAAGGCGGGTCAACCTAGGCTGGAAAGTTGCAAGAACAACAGAACTTGGTGGCAAAGTACCAAGAGTCTAGTTTATGCGGAACACAAACCATTGATGCGATGCAGCTCTCGATTGCAACGCTGGTGTCCCAACATGATACCGAGCGGCATGCAATGCAACATCAGATCGAGGAAATGTCGATGGCGTCTCTGAAGGCAGAGGAATGTAACCAAACGGAAGCCGAAGCATGTCGAGCCAATCTGGTCGACATGGAAAATGACCTTGCCGATAAAACAGCCCGCATTGGGTACTTGGAATCGAGAATTCGCGAATTGGAAGTCGCTGCAGCTGCGGAATTGGGGTGTCGTCAAAGCAACCACCGGATTGCGAACGAATCGCCAATGCCGACTAGTATGCCCACGTCGACCCATCTGCCCCCCGTGGCCCCGCCGTCCCAAGCGATCGCGTCAGCACCCTCCAAGCCAAGCATTTCACCATCGAATGTCATTGCAGACGAACCTCCTGACGCCGCAAGTCTTCCCATACCCCATGAATCAGTTGCAGCGGTCGTTATTCCAGACGTATGCTTGGCGTGCCGCGAAGAACCGTTTGGTTTCATGGTGCGATGCCAGAAGTGCAAGCAGCAATTCCATGCCGGGTGTGTCCGATCGAAGCGGCAAAAGACGTCTCGCGTGGGTTGCTACGTCTTTGTGTGCGAGCCATGCGAAGCTACGTAGCAAGTCGGTAGATGTAGGCGACGAGTTCATGCTGCATTCACTCGCCGTCACTTGGTCTCAACCACGATGTCACCATTACACATCATCGTGTAACGCAGTGGAAGCACAATGGCGACAGGTGTGGTAACACTTTTGAGACACCAATTGTCCGGATAATTCGAGCTTCAATCGTGTTTTGATTGGTGGAAATGAAACGCAGCCAATCCGATCGCGCGTACGTGTCATTGAGGCAGCGAACGTCAAGAACACACCCCGTAGGCCATACGTTGAGTAATGCGACCTGAGCAAGATCGGTCGACGAAAGTCACGCATTTTCCATCTTGATCCCTTATGCACACCGCGTCCATCACCTCAACACACCCGCCTTCATCTTCCTCCATGGCGTCGTCACCTCTGCCAAGTGGCTTCCACCAACGCTCCTTGTTGTCGAGCCCCACGACGTCGGTCCCGTCCATGGACGATTCCTCCAGCGCCGACGAAACCTTCCCTTCCTTCAACCAAATGCTTCGCAGCTCGTCCTCGTCGACAACAGTCAAGAAGTCGTTCAAAATGCGAAAAGACGACAGCGAATCCAGCCGTGAAATTCGACGAGAGTACAAGAAGGAATGGTACGAGAAGAACCGCGAAAAAGCCCTGGCCAAGATGAAGGAGTACTACGAGAGGCGAAAGCAAGCCGGCACGCTTCACCGTCGCTCCATCAAGCAAAAGAAAGTCACCCCCATGCCACCGCAGCAGTCAACGATGGCCATGGCGCCGGTCGTGACGTCGTTGCCATCCATGGCCCAAATCCAACACCGAAACGCGTCTATGGGCTTGATGCCGTCGCGATATGTGTACGAAGAGCGATGCATTCCCACCCAGCGAACCATTCCATCCCCGTGGGGATATGACCGGGCGCTGCCATCCTTGTCAGAACAACCTACCCGCCGGTCGTTCCTGCACCCCAATCACCATCACGCCGCCGTCCCTGCGCCCCCCACTGGCACCGTCGCGCACTTGAATTTGCTATGCGACGTCGCGCTCATGAACTAAAACCCAAACCCGCGCCGCCAAGACCTTCCTGCTGCTTGTTCTGCATGGACGGCACCACTTCAACCACGTTGATTTATTTTCCCGAATTCCCGAAATTATGAATTACTAATAATAATATAAAATTACACCATCAAATAATAATATATAACTAAGCTGACACCACCTACCGAACTGAGTTCTTCAAGAACGATAAACAACCAATCAACACGCATGCTGGATTTCGATCTGACCAATCAAAATGCTTCATTCGACTGCAACAACAACCACTTCAACCACCCAAGATCGACAGAACTACTGCATGTTGGCTGACATTTACGCACATGCTCTGGGTTACTGGCGTCAACGTTGTCCTTCTGTGTACACTAGTGGCCATGACGTATTCTAATGAAGGTACTCTCCTGCTCCAGGCATGTATGCACCGACTAATGAGCAACGGGTGAATACTGTACGTACAGTAGTAGGCTGCAACAACGGATCGTATGCGGTTCGTGTGGTGGACTCTGCCGTCGTGCAGTGTGTATCGACGCCACCGTGTTTCGGCCAGTATACCGACGCAGCAGGTAAATCACTCCATCCATGTCAGTCCCCATTGCCAATTCTAAGGAAGATGACAAGTAGGCGGAATTCATGTTGGACGACCATGCCCTGACGACTTGAGCTGTGGGTTCTTGTCTAGGAACGACACGGTCTTGCAATGCATTCCACGAAATAACCCCCACGCAGTGTTCCTTGGCCATAACGGGACGACGAACTCTGATACCATCTCCACTCCCCTCCTTCATAACGCCAACGATTCCAACGTCAACAGCTCGATGTCCGCCCTCTTGTTTGTTGCATCTCCTACGACATCGCCACTCATCGATGGCAATGAGGTCACGATCAAAGCACCGCTAGAAGGTCCTTCCATGCATGACTCTGTATCCAACGACCCCGTGCCGCGTCCCAACGGCGCAATGGCCAACATGCAGACCGTGGTCCTCTGTGTCGTGGCGAGTACAGTTGTTGTCGTCGCCATCGTAACCGGCATGCAAGCGCTGCGAAGACAAATACGACGCCCCAACCATTTTGACACACAAGCGAACGTGGATGCCACGTCAGTCTCGTCCATGTGATGAAAAATGTACTTGCTGTAACTTAGACGGAGCTTGGAGTTACATGGTGCACATCTACATTTCTCACAATCGTCAAGTGTCTGGCAGTTTCGAATACATTTGATCATCCAATATACAGGAAGCTTGTCCAAAACTATACTATACAAATATAAGTATGTAGTATATGGTTTTGCCCAATGAGTCGAGTCAAACGTTTGGATTGGCAGAAATGCTCAAAAACGTGATTTGATTGGCTTAGGCGGTTCTTTAAAGACATTCGATTTTGCTGAGGGCTCCTGTTTCGAATATCAATTTGACAATATCATAACTCCCATGGTGCATGAACGCCCCAATCCTCATGGACCCAACCACCGCTAACTCCACGTATTTGCGCCATTGTCCTACATCACGTTGCATGTACTGTCACAGCGTCCACATGATCCAAGTGACGTGGCCGATGGGTGTTTCATCACGTGTTTTTTCGTTACATGGAGTTATAATTCTAGCATTTCATTATAATTGTTACATGGATGTATAATTCACGACCATTTGATCGAGGCGAAGAAAGCACGACTGGAAAAAGTCGGCGTCCACGCCATGGATGGCATATTGGTGGACGTAAGCGTTGGATGTAAACATGCGATGCGCTTTATCGAGCATCGACTCCACTTGCGGCAAAATGGCTTGGGAATTGCTACGCCATTTGCTCACATACGAGCCATAAGTACAGACACATAAGTACAGCAGTACCTCAACAACGCTGCCGTCTTGTCGTATTCACTGAACGCTCGCGGGTGGTACATGCATGTAAATGGTGCAGTGGTCCAGGGGCAGTACCTATCCCCATGATGACGACATATATTGTCCCCGTAAATGGTGACAACAACGTACAACCGAGGGTCTCGAAATGCAAATGGATCCACTTGACCATCACAGTGAGGGCCCCGTACAAAGAGCATACTCGCCACGCTCTTGTTGATCGGTCCATTCTCTGCAGGAATAGTATATATTTTAGAATAAAAAATATATATTTATCCATTTCGATCGATTGGTAACACACATACAGTACTACCTAGAGAGACATCCCATCGCACCCCTTCGTCCATGCCAGAGTTGGCAATGTGCATCTATCCATGGGTATATATATATATATATATGGTGCACACCATTTCCACGATGGGTATTATTACTTGATGGAGATGTTTCAGGACTCCAGGCCATTGATGCACACTAAAGTCCCGGGACCTCTGGGCTAACTAACAGAATACACAACATTCAGTACCAATATATATATATATATAATCAAATATACTATTTGGTATCTATCGTACCTGGGGCACGAGTTTGACGTTGAGTAGCTTGAATCCCTTTTTGACAAGCATGAGACGAGACTGTATCATATCATATGGTCGTACGGGATGGGCGCATAGGTGCTGGATGATTGAGGGCAATGCACAGCTGGAAAATCGACTGGTGTGGGTGTCTTTCTACAGGAATAACGAACGTTACAGTGATCTAAGTTACTTACAAGCGTGGGGCTTTTCCTACTTGAAATGGAAGTGCCGGCATGAGCATGGCCGCAATATGGTTGGTCAGCACTTGGTTCATTTGGTGGAACGATGGCGTTGGAATGGCTAGCAAGCGTCGGCATATTTGGTCGGCCAAGTCGTTTTCCACGATCAACACTCCGTCCGACGACTACAAAGGTGACGTTATCAAGAAAAAGGATGATATGTCGAGTTCTGTCCAACCTCGGAAAGACACGCCATGGTGAGAAGGGTGTTGTAGTTTTGCACAATCACTTCGCCAGATCGATACGGCCACACTACCGTGTTTAACAGGTACGACGTAGGGTACAGCTCACGCAAACTATCGCACACGAACGAGCCTATGTGGAGTACGTACAACAGTGATTACGACCATCCAAATGTCAAGGGCTGGTCTGGATGCCACAACATTCGGTCAGAAAACGGCTATTGTGCCATGAAAAAGCTTGAAAGGGAAAAAAATGGAATAAAAAAACGGGTGTCTGAATGCCCTGTGATTTTTGCCCAAATTACGACAGAAATAAAATACGCAGATTTGGCGGTTTTTTCCCCTGGCACTTGTCCTGGCTCTACATTTATGTGATATTCTTGGACTTTTCAGGAATAATTGGAGTCATCACGACATTTCACGACCAACAATTTTGGTGTCAGATTTGATGCGTGACTTGGAGAAAAAGGAAAAAGTTGGCATAAATCTTTCTGACGTAATATCACTTGTGGCATCCACACCAGCCCTAAAGAAGCAGTTGTAATCCATCCGATCGTACCCAAACCAGAGCCCGTACCACCGGCCAAGCTTTGGAGTGCCAAAAACCCCTTGAAGTAGTCGCATCGCTCGACCTCCTATTCATTCGTGAAGTGGCGTCTGCTGATGGTTTCATTACGGCTACTGTACCTTTCGAACAACGTCTAGCACAGCTTCGTGGCAGGCTGCACCATGCACGGCGTAGCCATACGCCCAATTGTTTCCTACAATTTTTCGATAAGGGAATTTATATAGCATAACGTGATGGAATGATTGGTTGGTAAGACAAAACGTGATGGAATGGCTGGTAATGATTCATCGACGATGTACCAGATCCACTTTGTTCGCATACGACGTTCGCATCATCGTACTGCCATGGTAGACCACTGCTAGTTCGGCCAGCGTTCCCGACGCATTGGTTGACCACCTGCTTGATGTGTTGATAGTCATGTAAACACGAGCAATAGAATGACCTTGGGCTCCATGTCAATCAGCACCGCGCGGGCTGTCGCCGCGCCATTCGATTCGTGCGAAGCAATCGTCTTGGCATCGTGAGAGCGGAAGAAGCATTCGCGATCCTCCGCCGAGAAGTGCTCAAGCTCATGTGCCAACTTGTCGAAAAAGGACAACCCCTACGCACAGCCTCGTCGTCGTACCGTTGATTTCGCCGACGCCATCGATCCTACGCACCAATTGGTTGCCACATTGACCCAGCTGAAGGGTCACCACGGACATGCGCAATAAGAATGACAAGCTTATCCGGAAACCTTGTTCCGGTCGGATAAAAGGCCTTCAAATAGTTCAACAACACGAGCACGAACTTAGGTAAATTAACAGTAAATCATGAGGGCCACTTCACAGGGCAGAGAGAGCAACGCAGAAGGTGTTGTGGCTGTCGTGTCCATTGGGCTGTGTGGATGCGAGGTATGGCAAATAATTCGACAACTCGAGCACGTAGTTAGGTAAATTAAGTCATGAGAGCCACTTCACAGAGCAGAGAGAGAAACGCAGAAGGGGCTATGGCTGTCGTGTCCATTGGGCTGTGTGGATACGAGGTTTGGGGTGCTGTTGTCGTTGCAGGTGTATCCGCTGCGGATGACGCTAGTTCGTCTTGATCGTCGTCGCCGTCGTCCTTGCGTTGCATGCGCTTCATTTTGATCGAGTCTCGATTACGTCGGTACCACTCCTGTTTATACACACGCTGCTTTTCCTTGTGTTTAGTGCGGTAGTCTTTCATTTGCTGCAGCCTCCGTTCCCGGTTCTTCGCATCGTAATCACGTTGTTTCGCCAATCTGTCCTCCCGATGCTTCAAGTACCATTCACGCTCGCTTTTTCTGCGGCGCTGGCGCTTCCGTTCCAAGTGATGGTGGCTATTGTCACCAAGCAGCCCTGCGATAACATTGTCATCGTTGGAAGTAGTCGCCACGCGAGCAGCTGCAACGGATGGCGGCACTAGCATTGGCTTGGACGATGGCTGGTGTTGTTGTTTGCGAGGACTGGCCAGTGACGATGGAAGCATGATCATAGCTTCTTTCAGTGGACGCACGATCGAAATTGAAATTTGATCAATCGGACATGTATTTCACTTCGTCGTGCGTTTCAGATCGCAACAACATCACCGTGTCGAGATCCGAAACGGCTAGACCGTTACATATTAAACAGCACTTTGGATTCATTTATAGAGGTTTATCCAAGCAATCGAATATGTAACCGCCGCGCCTTGACCTGGTGTGCATTCGCCAAAAATTCATACTATTCGTAGCACTACAGTATTAGTACCTAGTTTGACGAAGTACGTAATACTCGGAGGAATAACGTTAGCAGATAATACTGCAGGACTGTACGATGAAATCAAGAGGAGAAGGTAAGCGGTATACAATGGGGCGTGTGTTGGCCAAACGTACCTCTTGGACCTGTTGACCCGTCAAGGCAGTAGTTCCATAACGACATTATCCAAGGCCGTTGGGTTTGCATTTAGGTGTCAAAGTGGAAATGTTATCAATCTTGAAAGCTTAATTCACAGTAAAATACCTTGATTCACATTACTTTTCGAGTAACGCTCGAAATACCTTTCAAATGTCGCTGTATTATATATAAGTTTGAGTTCTAACGATTACACAATTACTTAAAATGGTCAAGTCAAATACCGCACTTAGGTGTAAAGAATACTTCATTAACAGTAAAGTGAAAACAGTAAGAATACAACACTAAGGCCGACTCTGGATGCCACAGAAATTTTTATGTCAAATAATATTCTGACAGAGAATTCCGGTTTCAAATGGGAGATGAGAAAATATTTTGGTGTGACCTCTGGATACCATGATGGAAGGAGAACTATCGATAGAATAACATGTAGTAGGTAAAAAATGGACAGTTGCAGGTCAAACTTTTTTCTGTCAGAAAACAGTCAAACCTCGACGTATTACGTATAGATAATCTGGGAAACACGACAAATTCATCCGACACGATTCTGATTGGACATTATTCTTTGATTTTGTAGATGAGCAATTGGCTCAAGATCTGGGGTGCGCAGATCACACTTTCCATCGCAGACCACAAGACGGTGCGCCACCCGAAGGCACCCGAGGCCGCAGCCGCCGACACTTCAAGAGCCTTCAAGCGCCCATGACTCAGTGAGCTCATAGACATTCCCCGTATCTTTCCAATCCGACTGACGTGGACATGATTGAGTGTGTAGGTGGCAATGTACGATGACTCCGCGACACCAGCGAGCGCACGACACGAGCAATCACAAGGGCCAGCTCCCCACCACCATGTACGTCATGTATCATTCCTACACTATTCATTCGCATCATAGGAACACCGAACGAAGGCGACAATTCCCTCAGGCCACATGGCCGGCATCAAAGCGCCCATGCTCAACATGATGTACTCGTACTTGCATCACAATTGGACACTCAATGTTCTCTGTGTGTAGTTGATCATATTGTTGCACCAAGCCACCAAGGCTTCAACCAACGACCAAGGACAAGCTGCAGTCATGACGAGCTCCCGCGCACACAAGTCCGTACATGCACACAACGATTCACATATTCGGCAAAGTCGAGGTATAAATTCATATATACAATTCGTTTTAGTGTGTTTTCTCGTTTACGCTTGCGAACTTCATGAAGCAGATTGGAGTATGTGTTCGTGTATCCCGCGTACGCTTGTTCGAAGTGTGAATATGACCGATACTTGTTGAATGCTGTCGCGATCGTTTGTCGTTCGGAATACTTTTTGCGGTCCGACTTGATCATTGATTTCGTGTAGTCTTTGAGGGCACAGGGGTGGCCATTTTTGTGATCGACGAAGAACCACTGCTCCCACGCATCTTTCGCCGACCGAGCAGTTGGAATTATCTTTGGCACAACAAAGTCCTGCATCGAGCGCTGAGCCAATGGAGGCTGTTTGTTGACAATCGCGGACAGCTCACTGGGAGTAGCTGGCGACGAGCTGAGGACACTGCTCGTCCGATCGCCCTGCAGATGAGTCAATTCATATTGAGCAATTTGATCTACAATTTCCGCCACGTTGGTTGGTTCCACGTTGACACCGTGCGGCCCTCGGTGGCGCGTCTGCAGTAGATGTCGGGGGGCGATGGCGTCACTGAGACTTTTCGTCACCAAATATTCGCAGCACGTTTTGGTGTCTTCCCAACGACACCAGACCATCAATTCGCGGAAGTTAAACTTCCGTTCCGGGGACTCAAACACACGGTAGTAACACCCACCACGACGCATGCTATGCAAAGAGATGTTGACCGACAGCGAAGGGGTGCTTTCAACGAGATCGTTGATTTGTTTCCGCAGAAAATTCTCTTCCATGGCTTTAGCCCAGTTGATCTTTACGCTGCGATTGATCAGACACGTGACTTGTGGAAACACAAACGCGTCCTTGGTGACATTCATCAATGTCGCTCCAACGGCATTCACATACTCGTTGTAGAAACCACACACACGGAGGCAGGGATACGCTCGCTCGTCCACCAGGTTGTACACTTGGCACTCCTTTTCGACACTCGCTTTTTTGTGCCAGCGCAGACGAACGGAAACAAATTGGCCACCAGGCAAGTCACCAAGGGCGACGTCGCACCACCTGAGCCCAAGCATCTCGTTGATCCGGAAACAACCCAGGTAGCATGCGCAGAGCACAAACCGCAACAATGCGGCCATGAACGGGTTCAGGTGGGCCAACGAGTTCACCAAAAGGGAGAGTTCGTGCACGGTGAGGGGGTGGGCCTTCTTTTCGTCGTCAATGTTATGTTGTCGGTTGTACTTTTGTAACCTAACAAAGTATTGTTTGGTTTCCATGGCCTGTGCTGGATTCGGATCGATCCTGCGTTGTTTAAAGTACGACACCAAAGCCGTCTTTGCGGAGTCGATTGTCCTTGCCTTCCTACCCAGTGAGTACAGGTGGTGCAGGAAATCAGTGCAGTCGTTTGTGGTTGCTTGCAAGGGCACTTTGTCTGGGTTGGTAGAGCGAAAGAATGTTTCGAATTGCCGCTGGTATGTACCATACGTGCGCTTAGTTGATGCACCATGAAAGGAGGCTTGAATCGTCTCCTTCGTCGATAACTCGTCCATGCTTCGCCTGCTCGGGCGGAAATGGTAGTTTTGTGACACCGCTTTGGTCGTTTCAAGATTTAGTTCGATTTTGTCCAATAGAATGCTGTACATGATAAATGTTTGCTCAATGTTGTCGCCTGGACACTTACACCGCCCAATCATTGGGCGAGAGTTCTCCTTGACCAACCACATCGTGAGAAATTGTCGGTTGGCCAAACAAATGGCCGAAATTTGTCGTTTTGAATGTCGTGTCTGCATACTATGTCACTTTATATATGTCAGATTTGGTAGCCAAACACACAAAAACCGTCGATTGAAAAACATCATAATGTTTCTGAAAAGTTGCAAAAAGAGGTGTTTTCTGACATTTTTGTGGTAGCCAACAAAACCTTTTATACTGGATAACCTGCTTTACATCATAACAGTGCCATGGGCAAGGGTTATAAACTCCTGTGAATATTTTTTGGAATGAACATTAAAATTATGTGTCCCACTATTTCGACGTTTAGTATATTCAAGTCTAAATTCGGGCCATCTACTGATATCCTAAAATTTCACAATGTTGACTTTGGCCAGGAATATGTTGGTGAAAAGCACTACTACATATTCAAATCTTGCTTGCATTTTGTAGAGCACCCGATCCTCGTTAACTTCATAATTCGAATTCGTCGTAGGTGTTGAGAAATCGACACCTACGACGAATTCGAATAATTGGGCTGGTCTGGATGCCACCCCATAGAATTATGCCATAATCTGTTTTGGCAAGTCTGCAAAATTTTCCAAAAGTCTCATATCCCATGAAGAAAAGGAGAAAAGAAGTATCTCCAAAGTTGTCTGGATGCCAGCTGTATTTTGGAAAAATTCTTCGATTTCCGAGTGAAGTGCAAGACTGCGACATGAACACAAACCTCCATAAAATTGGACCAAATCGGTCCATATTTTTTATGCCATAAAACCCCCGATTCTCAAGAAAATTGTGGCATAAATTTTTGAACTTTGGTGGCATCCAGACGCACAAAATCTCGAAAAATGGATTATTTTGATTTTGGCAACTTTTCTTGGAAAAACGGCCATTTTTTGCCATTTTTCGTGGCATCCAGACCCGCCCTAAGGGGTTGATTTTCGGGCCATTTATTGGTTTTTTACATTACAGCATTACGGTATTACATACTTCACACTGCATGTAGTACAAGTGTGCTGCTTTCGTCGAATGCTCCTTTGCATGCCTTCAGAATGCATTCCTCGTACAGTACGTAAGACTACGGAGTTGGGAGGAGTACGTACTTCGAAATATGAACTGTACGTACTTTAGAGGGACTACGTAGTACTACTAGGATTACTATATTAAATAGTAATACCGGTCGAAGGCACCCCAGAGTATCAGGATTAGGGTTATTTCAAAAATTTATATTTGAGAGTTCTTGTATCAGCTTTACTTTATAAAAGTCAAAATTAATACTATTAAAATATATAGGTTATTAATTGTAAATGTGATATTTGTCTAATTTCTGTCATGTTTTGTGACATATGTCACAATAATATGTTCATTTCTACTACGTAGTACTTCTGACATCCAAAGAACAATTTTTATATATGGCGTTTATACATAGTATTGTTATAAGCACCTACGAAGTTTCCCTGATAAAGGCCATCTGGACCTTGAGATATGCATAAATGTACTGTACAGTACCCTCGATGCCTTCGACCAATGTTAGTCAAATTAGTCTCATAAATGGACTATTGTATTCCCTAGACTACTGTACCTACCATGCATACGAAGATTAGTCAGTTTTAAAAACTTCGGTTGTACCGCCAAAATGTCAGTTATTGGGATATCCGAGCGAAACACCCGGATACATCCCCAAATTATCCGTAAATTCGATAGTACCACTGTTGTAACAGGTTTTGGGGATAGGGACATCTGTTAAGTAGGGCACTTTGGCCTGTCTGCTTTGGCACATCCGGATTGTATCCGGATTTTGTGCCCACTATAAGGATATTATCCGGTGTTCTCTTTGGTTGGCTGTAAGAAGTCGGATAATCCTCACTTTCAGTTTTGCCCCCGACCACACAAGTGCTCTTTGTGTTCCTCGCGCTCTCACCCCCTTCCTCAGTGCTACCTCTTTCCTCGTCCTCTTGACAGGTTATGAGCCTCCTTCCTACCTCTGCGCAGCCCTTCGTTGGCACACCACTTGATGAATCGCGGCCTCTGGCATGCACTCTATGGAAAACGGACTTCTTGTCTCAGTTGACGACGCGTGATCTAGCGGGATTCTACATCGAGCCCAACCATGTTCCTCGTGGCATCCGACTCGAAGCTCTCAAGGTCAGCAAGACCTACCTGGGACGCGATGAGATCGACAACTGGGAATTCTATGTTGTGGATATTTCCTTATCTGATTATTATCGCAATTTGCGTTTGGCGGAAATCAAAGCGCACACAGCCGCCATTCACGTGAAAGCGATCAACGTTGAGGCGAGCAAGAAGCTCGCAGCTCAGCGCTATGCCGCGCACACATTCTTAGTGTCTGCCATCTCAGTTTACCTTCGCCGCCTCTACCAGACAACGATGTGTCCCTACTCGCTCTTTGAGCTTCTTAAGGTTCGTTTCGAATCTAACCCCATGGACAACAATCCCACCACATTGCCAAGCACCTTCGAACTCTCAAGTTCACGGAAGAGAGTTGTATCGACACTCTGGCTATTGAGCTCATTGACCTCGTCAAGCGTTACCGCGTGTCTATGACCCCGCCCTTCTTCAAGCTTTTGGACGCGTCGGTGATCTCGTCTATCGACTACGACATCCACATCTGGAACTACCACACTTTGTGTGCCATGTCTGACACCATTATCAACTACAAGGAGCTCTGGGAAGTCGTAACGAACTATGTCTCCACTGCGCGAGCCGTAGGTACCCCCGTTGTTGTTGATGACGTTTGGGTGTCCCTCCGTCGTATTCTTACGAATCGGCTCCAACGCGCCTCTGCCTTGGGAGACCACGGCTCTGCCGCCACCATCCAGTCTCGTTCTCAGTTTGCCGCGGTAACCCATGCTGTCGCGACAGCATGCGCAGGGACCGCGGTCCCTGCGCCTCCTCCCACAGCTATCAGCTAGCCTGATGGCTCCTACCATGCCCTTAACGCGTTCACCATCCCGGCTTATGCCCATCATGACTGCGTCAAAATCCCCGGCAAGTCCTGCTTCTACTGTGGCGTTGCTAACCACACCCTCCCCATGTGCCCTATTCTAAAGTCGGACTATGTCCGCAACACCATGCGTGCTGGCTTTGACCGCACAGGCTTTGACAAATACGGCTCTGCCCCCGCCAAGAAGCGCAAACGCGACGTCGACTATTCGCCGCGCCACCCATCGATGCCGTGACGACCGCGATGATCGCGGAGGGCCTTGTCGCCAGGGTGGTTTTAGTGGCCGTGGAGGTCGTGAAGATCGTAACCGTGGTGGTCGTGATAACAGTGGTCACGGTGGATATGGACGTGATGACCGTGGCAATGGGGGTGGCTCTGGTGATCGAGACCGCAGCCGTGATCGTACTGGCCGTGACAACCGCGGCTCTGGTCGTTATGACCGTGACGCCGGCAACGCTGCTTATAATGCATGCAGTCAACCGTGTCCTTGGATGTGGTCGTCATCAGGCTACTGCCAACTACACCATCATACCATCCCCCCTCAACCGTGTCCTCGAAAAGCCTCAACCGTCTAGCGTGCTACCCAAAGTTTTCACTACGGGCTCTGCCCCACTGTTCGACGTATTTGCATCGCCGCCGCGCCCTCCACTACCTTTGACTCTTGCGCCTGCTTCGGCTCTATCACTGGCACCAGTTACCGTCGACCCGGCCTCGTTGCCAGCCAACTACGGGTCTCCCGTTGACGCCGGTGATCTCGACTTCGCTGAAGTCCCGTCTAGCGAGGTCCTTGTTACCGACCGTCTAGCCTCTACCCACCACGCCCGTTATTCCAAATCCCTGCGAAACCGACCAAAATGAATCTTCCACTGTTGCCACCCAGTGCCTTCTTGGCTTCCCACAGCGACGCTATTACCGCTGCATCGGAAACACCCATTAAGGTGGTTCTCCAACTTTCACCACGCTGTGTCGACGGTGTTCGTGCCCATCCACACTTTCAAGCCATCAAGAGAAATGGCATTTTTGCCCTACACGCGGATCCCCGCTACTGTGAGAATGATGCTGGTGACCCACCTCTACCGAAGGCGGTGACCTATGGTCCTGCCAACTTCCCCGCTCTGCGTGAACATTGGATCATTGATTCCGGTGCCTCCACCTCGTGCACCCCCAACCGAGATTATTTCTCGCGCTACGCCCCATGTGTGCTGTCTTTGATAGTCGGAAACGGCGCCAGGTTCCCAGTTGTCGGTTATGGCGCCATCTCGATGCTAGTGGACATGTCGTCCCACCACCAAGTCGATGGCATCGGTCCATGCACTTTGCGCCTCAATTTTGGCCTACATTGCCCCGAACTACAGTTCAAACTGTTCTCCGTCCGCCAGGCGTCGGATGACGACATCACAGTCCGGTTTCCGGCTCGTGACGTGTGTGAGATCACCACCTCCTTTGGAGACGTGCTTAAAGCACCCAACAATGTCATGGGCCTCTGCTCGTTCCCCTCCCAACCCAAGGTCGTGGTCACTGATCCACACCATGGGGAGGCTCTCCCAATTTCGGACTTGACCCGTTTCCTTGCCATGATGGCCTCGTTTGAAACCGCACTGCGGACTTTTTCGACGATATACAGTGGATTTTCCACTTTTAACGATCAATTGCATATGTTTGCTTCCTCGTCGGCGTTGCGCTATGCGCCTACATCCATCAACTATATATGGTCCCCAAGTTACCTCCACCGCCTCCTCTCACTGCAGACTATGTCTACTTGAGTGTTGCCCATGCAATGCTTGGCACACCAACTACCACCAGTGTCTATGATGTCACTCATGTTCCAACCGATTGCTTCAGCCTCGTAGCTGACTCCAAACTCTCAGCAACTAGTCTTGCGCGCCTTTGGCACCACCGTCTCGGTCAGCCTGGCATTGATGCTTTTGAACACATGACAAAAACAAACCCCTAGCTTATGCTCTTCAAGGCCAAGCACCTTCGTGGTCACTTATGTGAGACTTGTGCTTACGCCAAGTCCAAGCGCAGTCCTTTTGACTCCTCAGCGGTCTTCCGTGCTACATCCTACCTCGCCCTTGTCCACACGGACATCTGGGGAACCCAGCCCGATTCTGTCGGCGGGTGGCTCTGCCTGCTTCGTTTTCTTTATTGACGATTTCTCCCGCTTTATGTGGGCTTATCCAATGCGTTATCGGAAAGATTTCTATGAGACGTACGAACTATTTCGTACGGATGCCATGTCTATTCTTAAACATGATGTTGGCGCGTTGCGTCATACGCACCCCACGGACATTGGCACACTCCAAAGCGACAACGCCAAAGAGTTCGAGAAGCTCGACCGCCTCATCCGGCCGAAGTACAACACTCGGGTGGCGTCTACTCACCTCAACAAAATGCGGTCGCTGAACGCCGTATCGGCATTGTTGTTCAGAAGATGCGAGCTATACTCATCGAAGGGGCTCTGCCCAAGTTCCTATGGGCTCTTGCCCTTGACTATGCCTCATGGCTGAATAACATCTCTCGTCATCCTCGAACAAAGGTGTCTCACCCTACCACGTCGTATTCAAACGACACCCCTCGTTGGGTCACATCAAAACCTTCGGTTGCACAACGTTTGTGCACGTTCAACGTGCCGCGCAGATCTCCAAGCTCGATCCCCGTGCCGTCAAGACTATGTTCGTGGGGCTCCCACACAACCGCAAGGGTTATACCCTTTTAAACCTGCATTCTCATGCACGGATCTACTCTCGTGACGTGACCTTCTGGGAGTCCGAATTCCCGCCATCAACTCTGTTGAAGCCGCCGTTGCGTATCGCAAACGATTTGCTTCAGATCCTACTTTCGTTCCATCCTTGGAATTCAACGCCCCATTGCCCTCACTATACTCACTGATTAAGAACAGGCCTAGTGCCTTCATCTACGACAAGCATCTGACTCCGTCACTCCCTGCCCCATCCGTAGAACCACCGTCTTCTCAGCCCATCATGGCACTCACTGTGGTTCAACCATACCGTCTTTTAGACGTGTTCTGTACTTTCCCGCTGACAAGCCCGGTCTATGACCCAACTGCCATCCCTCTACGCCGACTTTATGGTCATATTCCGTCCGCCTTTTCGGCCCACCCATCATCACACATCTACGTCCCTCGACTTTATTAGTCATTCATCAACTCGTCTCCCCATGGACACAACTCTATGGAGTCCCTCGTTTCCTACAGCAACCAACCGCATTATGCACTCTCGGCTTTGGCGTCTCCTTCCTTCCAATCAACGAACTCTGTTCCTCCTTCAACTCCAATGGGACCATTGTTAGTCTACGCTCTGCTCGCCGACCGTGCCGACAACAGTGACCCCAAAAGACTGGCGTGATGCCATGTCGCGCCCCGACCATGCCCAATGGATTCTGGCCGCGAAGTCCGAATACGAGACTTTACTCTCCAACAGCTCATATGTGCTGGTGTGAAACGTCGTCATGAAGAGACGGTTCTACCTTGTCGCTGGGTCTTTCGACTCAAAGCCGATGGCACCTACAAGGCCCGACTTGTCGTCAAAGGGTTCATGCAACAAAAAGACATCGACTACACGGACATTTTTGATCCTGTTGTACGACTCGAAGTTCTTCGCTTCCTTTTTGCCTTAGTGGCCATCCATGATTTGGAATGCAAACAAATGGACGTCAAAACCGCCTTTCTTAATGGCAAAATCGACTGCGTTATACGCATGGAACAGCCTCCTGGCTCCCTCATCGACCCTGCTTCTCGGCGCGACTATGTCTGCCTCCTCCAAAAGAGCCTTTATGGGCTCAAACAAGCTCCACACTTATGGTACTGGACCTTTGTCACCTTGATGGCTTCCTTGGGCTTTGCCCGTCTTCACAAAGACCGCTGTGTTTTTTTCAAAGCCAGTGACGATGGTTTTACCGTCGTCAGTCTCTACGTCGACGATCTCTTGATCATCACTCCGAACAAAGCTCTTGCCTCGGACCTCAAAGCGTCATTATCGAAGCGCTTTCACATGAATGACTTGGGTCCAGTTCGAGATATTCTCGGCTGGGAAATCGCCCGCAATCGGTCCAATCGAACTCTGTTCATCCACCACTCCCGTTGTTGTTCTACAGTACTTGATCGCTTCGATATGTCTACGTCGAAGGCCGACGCCACACCTTTTGAGTGCACTACGCTCAATGTGCTAGTACACCTGAGGACATTGCTTTTAATCAAACAAAGCCGTATCGGTCAATTGTTGGCAGTATTATGTACTTAGCCATGGGTTCTCGGCCTGACTTGGCTTATGCCCTTCAACAACTCTCGCAGTTTCTGCACAACCCGGGTCTTGCCCATTGGCGTGCTGCCAAGCGCGTTCTACGATACCTCAGAGGCACCTCTCTTCATGGGCTTATACTCGGTGGCCGGGACTATGTCCCAAGCCATTTATGTTGATGCCAACTACGCCATGTGCCCAGACACTCGTCGATGTGTCAGTGGATTTCTGATCCTGTTCTTTTAAAGCCTCATCTCTTGGTTAACCACGAAGCAAGGCATTGTGACTCTGTCAACCACCGAGGCCGAGTTTGTGGCTCTTGCCTTTTGCATTCAAGAATATTTATACGTTCGACAACCGCTGCCGAGCCACATCACACTAGTGATCAACCGATTTCGGTTCACGAGGACAACCAATCCGCCATCAGCATCGCTCAAAATGCTGAGCATCATGGGCGCTCCAAGCACATTGATGTGCGTTTCATGTTTGTTCGGGATCTCGTTGAGACCAAGGAGTTTGTGCTCCATTACTGCCCCACCAAGAAAAACTTGAGGACTTTTTTACAAAAGCCCACCCGGAACCCGCGTTTCGCAGGTTCTGCAACGCTCTGCGTATCTACACACGTCACGCCTTCCTCAATGATCGTGTCCCCTAGTTGGACAGTGCCTTTAGCGCTTCTGCCTTATGGCACCTACCCACTATTTATGCCTTAATGGCGTCGATCAGTATCTGTCCCTCGTGTTCTACACCTCGCATTTAGATGCATCGGCTATATTAGGCGTGCTTTCTATTCACGCCTTCATTTTCGCCCCTCGACCTTGCTGGGGCTTGCTCACTTCTATGTCTGCTCGTGCCGCTTGAAGTCTGCGGTCTCGTCTGGCCAACGGCGGCGCTCAAGGATCGGCCTTGTACGAGTGGTGTCATGGTATGAGTGAGTCTCTTCAATGTGCACCCACACCTCCGTCCAACCTCCTACTTGCTATTCATGGGTCTTTACACCAGCTCTTTGAGCCTCATTTGCACTTATCCTTCTGGCATATTTACATGGGTCTTTACCTACTCTTTGAGCCACACTATCTTATTTTTCGTTGCATCTATGTACATCCTGGTATTTACCATTTCGTTTTACTTAGGCATTTGCCCCGCTCTTTGAGCAAACCTTGGACTTGTATGTCTACACTTCTTGCGTGCTCCTTCATCACCTTCTCCACCTCTGTTCTCAGGGTGGCTTGTGTAGCAACATGCCTTTTTGGCAATTATGGACTGAAGCAGGGGGTATACGGCAGTACACTGTAGTGTGCATCGTGCCGACGTACAAGTATGGCCGCTTTGAGGAGGTCGATAAACACAGGGATAGGATGTACTTATTGGCTGGTTTACGTTCGGCCCTATTCCACCGCTCGCCTACGTTACCCTCGCTCATCTACTAGTACGTCCTACATACTGTACCGCTCATCTACATTTGGTTCTTTCCTCGTCCCTCTTGACAGGACACTTCGAAAACATGTGGATATTTGACCCAGCTGCAGAACATTGCCACGTGGTACGGTTGAGTGTCCGAATAAGAGGAATGTGCAGTTCAGTTCCGCAAAATCTTATTCCTGTTCAAATATAATATTCCTTTATCATTTTATAAATTCCAGTCTGCTCGCCTGTTTTTACACAACCCTAATCCAAACTTACTTCAAGTATAAAGTTCGGCGTATCACTGGTCATCAATATAAATTTTGCAACTTGCGAAATTATTTACGTCATCGTGAACTGTCTAAATCCATTGTGTTTAGGTGTATGTGGCATATCTTGATGAGCTTTTTCTGGCGAGGTCCACTATATACGAGGAATTCACGAAAGAAAAAAGAAAAAAATCGGCACATCACTGGTCGATCACGTTAGCGAGTTTTTCGCCAGGTCCATTGCCTTTGACACTGCTCTATCTTTGAGAACCTTCGTCTCGAAGGCCTTCAGCTGCCTAGTGGGGTGGCTGTCAAGAAGGGCACTTTGGCCTGTTTTGGCCTCCTTGGCACATCCGGATTGTATCCGGATTTTGTGCCCTCTGGGCAGATATAAGGATATTACAGTGTTCTCTTTGGTTGGCTGTAAGCAGTCGGATAATCCTCACTTTCAGTTTTGCCCCCGACCACAAAAGTGTTCTTTGTGTTCCTCGTGCTCTCACCCCCTTCCTCAGTGCTACCTCTTTCCTCGTCCTCTTGACAACGTCGATACCGGTCACGAACTGAAAATTAATACTAGTACTACTAATAGTATTAACACTAGTATTACTATTAATACGTAGTATGCAAAAGTTTACGAGTGCTTACAAACATGAAACTGTAAACAACCACCTCCATAATCCATACTCCTACGCCGTGGAGACTGCTAACATCATGAAGCGATGGCCGTTCCTGATCCTGTTCTTTGTGAATGCAATTGCCGTGGGGATCCTTGTAGCATATGGACAAGGTTCGACACACTTGTCCTCGTCTTTTGCCTTGCTCATTGTCCCCATATATAGAGACGGTCTTGGCCAAGATTCCTACACTCCAGCAATGTGACCATGTGCAACGCCCCCACTGTATGGGCAACCAAACGATTTTCCGAGCCAGCATGGCGATCGGAGTGTTTTTCTTGTTTATGATGGGCTGGAGTGCGTCCACAGAGTCAGGGCACAACCGCGGGTGCACCATCCTTGCCCTGGAGCTGCCACTTTACGCAGGATTGTCCATCGGGGCCTTCTTCGTTCCCAACAGTATGTACATCGTCTATTATAGGAGTAGTTATTACTCCACTTATCATAAGTAGATGTCTTTGACGGGTACGCGTGGGTCGCAGCTGTGGCGTCGGGCGTGTTCATTGTCATGCAAATTGTCATCCTGCTCGACTGCGTGTGTACGTGACACTTGAACCTGTGGCTGAATGGGACTCCCGAATCGTTCTGCTCTTTCAGATGACATCCGAGATTACGTTCTCAACAAAATCCAAGCCAGTCCCAACAGCCAAGTGTGGCCCGTCGTGTACTTACTGCTGTCGTTCTCGTCCCTCGTTGCTACGATCGTTGGCCTCGTCTACCTGGTATAACCACAGATGTCGTAAACCACCGTCGACTGCTTTCCAATAAAAACCAACTTGGGGGTAGTTTCTCGAGTATGCTGGCTCGCCGTTGGCCGTGGTATTCATGGTCATTACGGCGGTGTTTGCCGTGCTCCTTCCAGCTATTGGGGGTACACAACCAGTTATCCCCATCATGTCACTATTCTATGGTTCCCAATTCACACTTTTTGAATGGCTCCATTTATTTTCGTGGTTTTGATATATAAACAACATTCATAGTGAGCGACAAGATCGGGTCTGGGCTGCTCCCCCCGGCTGCTATGACCATGTACCTCGTGTTCCTGTGCTGGCAGGCCGTGTCCAAGCTCCCCAACATCACCCCCTCCATAGCTGCCACGTCTCCCATCCTCGTACCTAGCGCCATCATCGGGGCATTCACAGTGTCCTGGACCTGGTATACATACTTGTGTTTTCGTCCGCTTGAATTTATGTATACAAATATCCCCCCGCCAATAACAACGAATGACCATCTTTAGTTGGCGAACGTCAGAAGCTACAAAGTCGTTGTTTCGCCTTGAAATGCATCCTGGCAACGCCGCTGCCACTCCACCTTTCAATGTAACCATCCAACATCCGAGTGTATACATACATAGGTGCAAATGTAAATATATATGTATGTGTATCTAGCCCCCCAACGACGCTGCTGCCGTGGTGACCGACCATTCGTCGACATGCGATAACGACGTTGCGGTCGTGATAGCCGACGCGCCCCCCACAGCGCCAAGCTGGCAGTTCTTCTTCATCATGTTTGTCAGCAGCTTTTACATGGCGATGGTCATGACCAACTGGGGCGTGAATGACACCCAGGGGTACATTTTATACTACTGGAACACCTACTATTACGATTATCATTGGGGCGGATGGATTAACTAAGAGTTAACTATCGTAGATCGGACAAGTCGAACGTGGTCAGCGTGTGGGTTCAGATTGTATCGCAGTGGACCACGTCGCTGCTGTTCCTGTGGTCCCTTGTTGCCCCCGTGGTACTTCCGCATCGCGACTTTGCGTGATCGCCTTCTCATCCACCCCCAAAATGCAATATCCCATGTTCACTTTTGTTTGCATATTATATTCAGAGCGCACTGCCATACTTGGAGTGCTACTACTGTAGTACACACGTACTATATTATACTACTAGTTGAATATGCTAGTACTACTACTAACGTTAGAATGGGGTTACAGTAGCAGCCCTGCACATAGTTGTTCTCTAGACAGGAGTGATCATGCCGCGCTCAATAAGATCCGGAACTTCGGCAGCCAACCACGGCGCGAGCTAAATCCGAGTAGTTATACACTTTTGTATGATAGTTATATATGGCCGTACCCCTAATGCCATTGCATGGGCAATTCCAAAACGAGGCACATTGCGTTGCCACAACGGGGCAAAGTGCCCTGTGAGGCAGATTTTACCACCTCTACACACATCACAAGGCCGCCATATATATCATATTAAATTGCAATGTGATATGGACTAGTATGTATACCTGTACATTTTGGCCGTCTTGCCGTCCAAGTCGGGCACACTGCATGCATCTTTTCACCAGGATATGTACATGAGAGTGTCGAGTACCAGATTTCAGGATGGGTCACAGGGTACGTAGCAGGAATGTCAAATGTCAAGCCAAATTCATACCGCAACCCGTCGTGAAATGTCCAACAAGTCCCTGTCCACCTGCAACATGTGACACTTCCCATCGAGGTACGACATAGCGATTGACGTGCGCGGGCGTACCGAGTGCCCGTGGAGTCGGACGCAATGGTGAACCAGTCGCCATCGGCCTCCTTGTTCATCTTGACGAACTATAGTTAATGGCCAAAGGTAGATGAGGTCGGTCCGACATTGCGGGATCGACAGGGTGTGTGTGGCATACGTGGATCAGCGCCGTGTACTCTTCCTTCAATCGTTTGATCCATTCGCCTCCATCTCGTGGCCCTGCTCGGACATTCAGCACCGGAATCCTCTGTGTGGTGCGCTCGTCCAGAGGCGGGTCAACTTCGTCGGTCGTCATGTTCTCGTTGGGAATACAACGTTGCGACTTTTCAATTAAGTTACTTACAGTAATTGTTGGGAATACACAGTCAGATTTCCTATTAATAATACTATTACTACTCGAAGGAATAATAGTATGACATTTTAATAAGCTACAATGTGGTAATAATACAAATCAGTTAATAATAATACTTAAAAAAATTCATACTTTTTAAATTAATACTTCGAAGTACTTCGAAGTAGCCATCGTGCACCAAAGCAATTATCCGGAATAAACCACTAACGTTACTATTAATACACTTACACTGTAAGTTACTCGTTAACTCCGAGTATCCACCACTACTGTCGTCGTCCTCCATCACTCACAGCAGGACAACCATTCGAATAGTCATCGTTCTTGTCGTACGCGGTCATATTGAGCCGACTGGCCATGAACTTGGCGACTTCATGCACAAACAAGTCGGCATCATCGTGCAGAAAGTCCCGCAACGCGTCGCGGAGGGTGACGAAGGGATGGAGTGCCGTTTCAGAAGAAGTTGTTCGAGCACGCTTCAAGGGTGGCATGGGTCGGTTGTCCTGATGCTGCCGCGCGAGGTCGACATACGTAAACACAATGTGGAGGAGCAACGACGTATCGGCGTCGTCACCCATAAGGACATGCAGTTCCCTGTCGATCCACGTTTTTGCTTGGTCGTTGGTTTTTCGGATGGGACTCCACAGGGAAGGCAACGACTCATGCGTGTGCCGTCGGCGGTAGACCAGACACCGCTTCCGCCGCGCCGAGTTCACGCCATGGGGCAAGGATGTCGACGAAGCAGCATGCAAGACATTCACAGTGTCGTAGTCGTAGGCAGAGCGAAGGTTCGCCAGCACGGCTTCGTACGGGGTTCGACACACAGGGCATTTCAATGGCAACGCACCTCGACGGGCGACATGCTTCGACCATATCAAGATGCACTCAAAGCAGAATTCGTGCAAGCAGCCTTTGATCAGCACCCCATCGGTCAACTGCTTTAGGCAGATAGGACACTTGCCTTGCACAATTGTGTACTCTTCGCTGGCACCATTGGAAATGCTACCGTCGAGAATGTCGTACGTGCCATCACCTTCTTCGGCCTTGAACACGTCGTCTTCCAGCTCACGAGCAATGACTTCACGTACGTGAATTTCATGGGGCGTGATGGCATCACCTCGCTCAGCGTCATCTACATTCCAGGCATCGTCATGATCGAAGGCCACTCCACCGTCGCCGCAATTGCCGTCATCGCTCATGTGATCATTAATGTTGCTCTGAAGTTTTGCAGCCAATCCAGAGCCTTCATTTCAATTTGAGCAATTTGATTGGTTATGGGTGCATTTTCCACTGAAATCATTTAGTTTTCACCAATTGATTTCGATTATTTCGAAATAAAGGTAATTAATTGGCCAATATACAAAATCGCTGCCATATTCCCAACGCCAAACGAATTTCGTGGTAGGAAGATGAGCACCGCCGCCGCCGTGACTCGCGCCGGCGCAACCATTCCAGACGAAAATGCGACCAAGAAGCCTAAATTGGACTTTGAAAGTCTGTACCAGAACTCGCTGCAGCTTACCCGGGGCATGGACCAACTCCCTTCGCTCCAGCGCAGCCTCGACCAACTGCATGCTGTCACGAGTGCCAAGTCGCTCGGGTCTTCCGCGGCGCCGTCCACAGCCACAAACAAGGCCCAGTTCCTCTTGGCTGGTCGAGGTTTTGACGCTGAGAAACTCAGTCGCGAGTTGCGCCAGCATGAATTGAAGGCATCGTTTGAGCCCAAGGAATCGCTCGGCGCGTGCGACTTTGACGGATTCCTGCGCCACCACCACGAGATGATCGTGGTCACTGCGATCGAAGAAGCGCTGGCGGCATCCACGCGGACATCGCAGCAGAGCGCGATCAACGCGCTCACAGACGAGTTCCAGGTGTCCAAGGCGAAACTCATGCAGGATCTGCAGGGCAAGTCGACGCCGGCGCCGCTCGCGTCGCATCGCCCGTTGCATCTCCCGTCAACGTCGTCGATTTCTACGTCGTCACCCGCCACGGTGTCGTCCGTGAACCTTCCTAGCGCAATGACCGAGCCTATGCAGGTGTACGCCGCGGCCCTTCGCTCGTCGTTTCAGGCAAAGTCGCTGTCAGTGCCAGACTTCAACCTCATCGAAGCCAGCATGACCGCCGCCAAGTCGTTGGTGTCCCCGACATTATCCACTGACTCTGCCGAGCATGAAACCCTCCTCGTGTGGGAACTCCTCGGACACATGACGCGCCATCGCCCCGCCACGGCATCCTCCCGTGCTGCCGGCGCGCGCCAGTTTTTCGAAGCGCGCTATGCCGTGTTCATCGAGACCAAGTTGGCCCAACTCGGCGTGCCCCGGGGTGGCGACTTTGGTCGGCGGGCGACCGTGTTAACGTACGTTCGCGACGTGCTCCAACTCCGCCCGCCGCAACAAGTATGGGCCGTCGTGTATTACTTGCTTCGGAGCGGTAGTTTAACGGACGCTGCCGCCGTCGCCGAGGGCCACGCCGCGTCCAGCGGCTCGACGTCGTTGCCTCTTGTCACGGTACGAATGCCCACGAGTGAGTAGCCACTCGTATGTCACTAAATAGTGCCTTGCCTACCTCTTGTAGGAAGCGTTGCGCTTGTATGCCTCCGACACCCCCACCAGCCCCCCACCACTGGAAAAGACCCACCCGGCACTGTATCGCAGTTTGACGTCACTATTTGACACGCTCTTGGCCACCCACAAGGCCAGCCCCGGCACGACCAACCGCTTCGAAGTGGCTGTGCTCAATCTGTTGACTGGTCGCGATCCATTGCTGCGAAATGCCGGCGTGATCGACAACATTGAGGACTTTTTATGGCAGGTCCAGTTTTGCAGCCAGCAGCACGTGGACCCCGTCGCCGTGGCGAAAAACGTGCTGGCGCTGGTCCAACCGTCCGAATTCAACCACACCACCCTGGGCGGAGTCTTCGAGTACGTTCGGCTGCTCGTGACGTGTCAGCAGTTTGAGGCGGCTATTGAATCCCTCGCGTCCAAGGGGTTTGTGGTGGAGGCCGTCCACGTTGCCATCGCGTTGCTTTTGGCCGACCATCACCACCACCACCGTGAGGACAAGGAGGAGGATGATGTACCTGTCAAGACGACTCGAGACGCAGTGTTCACGAGACTGCTGCGCCAGTACATCCATCAGTTCCAGACCACCAACCCCAGCGACGCCGCCATGTACATTGCGTGCCACCCCAACCCAGACACGGTGCGCGCACTCACCAGCGACCTCCTCCTCGATACCCGAGCGTTTCAAGTGCTAGCGGGGTCGATCCATCCCGCCGACGGCTCCCGTGTGCCGGGCGCGTTGGAATTGTATTTGACTCGAGCAGAGGTAAGAAATGAAGGTCTACAGACAGACGTTTTGGAGGATTGGCGACGCATACACTCTGGCTTGGATTGGCTTAATCTCGTTGTGTTTATATATGTAGGTGCGTGAGATTGTGCTGTGGACGTCCCAACAAGCGCAAAGCCAAGGCCGACATGTCGATGCCCTGCAGCTGTTGGTGCTCGTGGGTGATGTTGAAGGTGGCATGGTGCTGTTGAATGGCCAGCTCGTGCAAACGTTGGCCTCTCCGGTACAGTCTTTTCGTCTGGAATATGAACGACTTGACAAACATTGATGCATGTATATATATATATATATTAATATATTAGTATTGTGTTTATATATATATATATATATATTATATATTATATAATGTATATTGATATTGTGATTATATATATATATATATATATTATTTAATGTATATTAATGTTGTGTTTATATATATATATATTATTTAATGTATATTAATATTGTGTTTATATATATAATATGTATATTGAGACGGATTGGTATGTATGGAGTTACGTTATGGCCTCGATACATATATATATATATATATGATGGAGGAAACAAGAGTAATCGGCAAGGTGCGTGGCTGGTAGGATCGTATGACGTGGCTAAACCACGCGAGAGGGTTTGCTGACACGTGGCTGCGGACGTCGTGGGCGTTGGATATTGCCCTCAACCACGCGCGAAGTGCGGCGCTGGCGTTCCAGACGTTGATGAACATTGGGCTGTTCCTGGAGCTGCTGGACGCCAAGAAGTTCACCGACGGCATCGTCTTTATTGAAGCTTTGGCCTTGTTGCCAGCCCCGGTATGTTGAGACGAATGTCCCAACTCATTGGTCCTTTGAAGAAATTGCTTGTCGCTGATTGGTTGTCGTTTTATTCTATCAACCAATCAAAATGTCGTGGTGTGTGACCAATTTCACAAACTTGCGATGATTGTTTTCGAGCTGTATGGGATATTTATATATATATTTATATATAGGGCGGGGAACAAGCGGCGGTGGACAAGTTTATGGCGATGGACGGCGGCGTCCAGCAAAACGTCCACTTGCTCCTTGTGGGGTACATGGAGTGCCTTGTGTGGGAGACGGAGCGCTCGAAAGCATCCATCTCGGCCGTGGAAACCCAGCGGCACGTGTGCAAGCAGCTGCGGGACAAGGCGCGGGCGGTCGTATCGTTCTCAGGGATGATCAAGTTCCGACTGCCGCTGGGCGTCAACGAGCGGTTGAACCAGCTCGAGATTCGAATGATGTAGTCGAAAGATGACGACGCCAAACTCTTAACACACACCCACACGCCATAACGATAACAATATCGCTACCTTAGTTGTGCATGCTATAATTACTGTGAGCGTGCATGGTGGTGTGGATAAGGCTGTGGTGAATCCTTCAAAACAAGTTGCCACATCGCAATATTGGAGAGATTGTGCATCATGATGGGTATGATGGAGTAACCGCTGCAGTTACAATTCCTAGCATTCGGTTTCAATCTCGAGCCCGACGTTGCCGAGATGTCACGAATGTCGTCGTCCGAGAAGGCAGTGACTGTGTGTGTATTGTTCATAGTAAAGACACTAGTGGTCCTGGGCGTGTCAGTCGCTATCGCAGTGGCAGCCTTGGACCCTCTGGACAGCGTTGCTGCGGACGACGGTAACGGACCCGAAGCTCAAGTAGAAGCGGCACCGAGTTTGCCCCCAAAGATGAGCCGAGCGATCCGCACTCAATCGCGACAGAAACCTAAGCTGAGACCGCTCAAACATGTCCAGTGGCTTCATTCACTACAACTTTGGGTGCAGCAGGTAAGTCCACCCCATCAAGTGTTGCCATCCGCATAAAGTATACGGGGGTAGGTGCTCCACCAGTTGCACCCCGATGTGTCGATCATTCCAGTAACAGTCATGCGATCGCTTGCGATTCCACACCCTCCCCTTCACCGCATCATATTCCAACGATCCCCCCTTTACGGCATCCACTTCGACCCCCGATCGCTCGTTCGTAAAGTGCAAAGTATCCCTGTGCCCTACGCACGAATCCATCGATGGCTCGCTCTTGCGGTGCTGCCAGCAGTCCGGGGACGTCGGCAACGCCAGCCCCCCCTCCACGTCATCGCGAAGCAGCACGTCTACAACGCCGTGCGACTCATTCAAGGGTTCGTCCGCGGTCGGTACGGCCTTGCCTGGGTGGATGTTCATGTCAAATCTGGATGACCATCGAGTGTGTCCTTGTAGCCTCGCCATCATGTTGTTGGCGTCCAAGCAAAAGTACTTTTCCAGCCTCGTCCATTCAACACACTTGATCGCCCTCGGTCGAGGTCGCCGTGCAGCCATTTTACTCCAAGCATGCTGGCGCTACTACCAATCCGTACGATCGTGTAGATTTGTGTGGAAACCAGGCCAATGACCACGTGAACTACAGGGTCGGTTCTGGCGAGTCTATAGCAGCGTGTATCGTATTCGACTTTTGGTGCTCGCACACCGACTACGCCGGTCCCGTCACGCGCTCGCCATGACCCCTCACGTCAAGGAAGTGTACCCCATTCTCATCGCCAAGTGGTTCAACGTCAGACCTGCCAACCCCACGTCCCGCGTCTGGTTTTGCAGACGACCGAGCATCATAGCCTTGAGTGCGTAAAGCAAACGCAATAGTTACTACTTCGAGTTGCCTTGCGCACTGCGTTTGGGAAATTGATTAGCTTGCTCGCTACAGTAGACTTGGGGCACTTAGGGGGCTATATGCGTATGATGTCTCACTTTTTGTGTCCAATATGTTGTAGTCATGTGGGGTTACCAGTGCGCTGCAGGGTTTACGTTCTTCAATGTGCCTCTTGCCACGGAAAATGTGGAGTTCACGACGCCCGACATGGTTGCAAGTGAGTGAATGTAGCTGGCAAAAATATGGTGTCTTGGCTCAATCTTGTATCTATTTTTGGCTATTCTTGCAAGGCTAAGTGAATCAATCGTCCTACGTTGTACGCAGCTATTGTAACCCTATGTTTAGAAGCTTGTTAGAGGTGATGGCGGTCGCCAAGAATAACACGCACCTCCCCCATGATGGCGTCTGGCTAAATATACAAATATAGCTGTTGTTCTCTTTCTGTACTGTGTTGCTCACTTTTGATTTCGACGTACCCTAAGTACCGATGCAACTCCTGCTGCGAGCCGCCGCGACTGCCGCCGCCACCGTGGCTTTCCTCGGTTGCACGGACGCCAGTACCTCACTCGGGTCCAACTACTTGCCCCCTCAATCCCTTCGTCGGCTGGGTGCGACGGACGTGAACAACGCGACGCTGGATTCAGCCAAAAAGTTCAGTCAAGACGCGCTCAAATTTCTCACCAACCTCCGGGGCGGGGACGAAGTGTTTTACCAGCACCTCATCACGACAATGCAGATCATCATGTGCGACCAGAGCGTCAACTCGGATGGCCATGCCGAAGCCGCCGAAGCCAACGCCGTGTGGACGGGCACGGACGACCTCATCTTGCCGTACCATCGGTTCGTAATTGTCGCCCCTTGAGGCATAGAGATCTCGTTTTGAAATGGTTTCCGTAGATTTGTGTCCAAGGACAGCAAGTTAGCGCTGAAGAACAAAACCGGGTCGTGCATCCACGTGGCACGCCCTGCGGGCGTCGTCGCCACTAACTACGGGAGGGGCCTTTGTGAAGTCAAGCCCAACTGCTACTGGGCACCCATTGATGAGACAGCGCTCACCGATCGCGGCCCCAAGTACTCGACGCTCCAGGGCCCGCAGCCCCCGGATGGCGCGTACCGTGTAACGGATGCCAAAGCGTTCCTCCAAACATATGCTAAGGGGTTCGGGGCAGTGGTCGTGCCGTCGATTATCCTGCTTGTGCTGAGCGTGCTGAGCATTTTGCTGTTCATTTTGTGTCGGTGCTGCTGCAACAAGTGCGGCGGGCGCAATGGCAAGCCGGGGGGGTACAACTGCATGGAAAAGTTCTTGCCCGTCTTGTTCTACTTGTTGTTTGCGATCGCGATCCTCGTGCTCGCGGCGCTCTCGTATGTGTACTATGGCATCGTGACGACTTCCGTGTCCAAGATCTTTGACATTGTGCTGGCTCTGATTGATACGATCACGCTGTGGATGGCGTCGCTGCTCGCCCCCCTCAAAGACATTGGCGACAATGTCATCTCGTCGTCGGCCAATGTATGTCCATCACATCCTCGTGTTCTTCCCGTCGTCGAGGGGCTAACAGAAGGGCGTAGATTTCAACGCAATTGGACAACTCGGGGTTCATCGAAGTCGGCCTGGATGGCATCACGAGCCAACTGAACGCGTTTGCCGCGCAAACGAATGGGGTTACGTTGCCCACGGCCTGTCGCGTGGGGGTGGACCTCTTCTGCACGGCGTGCCAGGCTTGCACCGACATCAACACCCAAATCACGTCTGTGAACTCGCAAATCAACAGCGCTGCCGGCGCCGGGGTCGCCAGTGCGTCAATCCCCCCCTTCACCCCCCCACTCACATATTATTTTATTTTCTGACCATGTATTTGTCCTGACAGGTCTGAAGGAAACACGCACTTCGATCAAGTCGCTGCTTATTGGCGCAAGTGACACAATCCAGGGCGTGGTCAAGATGGCGTTCGACACACAGGACACGCTCAACACCAACATCAAAGCCAACACGCAGCCTGTGGTGGACCTCCAGACGCAGTGGAATAGCAACACGGCTGTGACCAAGTACGGGATCATCGCGCTGTTTGCGCTGGCGATCGTCGTGATTGTGCTGGGGCTTCTGGGCATTCTCTTTGGGCTGACGCCGCTTCGCTGCCTCGTGGTGGTCATGCACCTGGCATACATTGTGGCATTTGTAGCCATCATCATTACCTTCATTTTGTCGGCCGTGTTCCTCGCCATCAGCGTCCTCCTGGGGGATATTTGCCAGGTGCAAACAGTGATTTCGGCCAACTGGACCATCGCCCTCGGCGACGACGCTAAGATCGTCGACGCGTGCTTCAAGAACCAGTCGCTCGTGGACGTGCTCCACCTGTCGGACCAGTTTGCCTTTGCAGACAAAATCACATTCCCAAAAATCGACCTCTCCAAGATGCTCGACTTTTCAAGCTTTTCGTCGTTTTCGTCAACCATTGGCTCGACCAACACGTCGACGTTCTCCCTCGACCCGACTCTGATCCAAACGTTTGTGGATGCCCTCAACACCCAAACTACCGTCAACGCCGGCGGGTGTGTCGTCACGGACGGCAGGTACTCCGCTGCGAACCTCTTGACCCCGTGGACCGCCAACTCGGACCCGGCCCCCGCTCCTTCCCAGCCACCTGACGGGTACATGCAGAACCGCTACAACGTCAAAGTACGTATACTATGGCTATGTATACAAGTGTGCTGGTATCGACCATCGATGTTCTACAATTCACACATTTGAATTGTCCATTGGAGAGTGCGTACGATGAGTTTGCCCTTTGGATGTTGTACGAGTATGTGGTTCACATGAGATGGACATATGTGTGGGTCTACCTACATACAGACTTCGTTATTTGTGTGCCAACTATCGAGTTTGACATGACCAGCTTGTACGACGATGAAGCTGACGGGTGGAGTGTGATTGCTGTAGAACGCCCAATGCGACTCGCTGCCGATGCGGTGCATGGCGTCGGCACCCACGTGCCACTACTCGGACTTTGTCACAGAGATCTGGCGCAACGCCAGCACCCTCAAAACCATCGAGCGCGACGCGGTAGTGTTTGTGACTGGCATGACCACGTCCATGAACTCGTTGGTTGGGTACATTGACACGTTCAAAACCAACGTGACGACCCTTACCACGACGCTGTCGGGCATCGGGGACGACCTCGGCTCGTCGCTCATCGCGGACGTAAACCTGATCAAGGCCCGCATGCGATGCGCATTCGTAGCCGACACCTACACCCAGCTCTCGGACGAGTTCTGTGTGAACATGGTGCCGTCGTTCCTCATGATCTCGCTCTTCCTATTTCTCATGGGCATCTTCCTCATCCCGGTCATCATCACGCTTATCATCATGGTCAAGCGCCTGCGCCACAAGCACACGAGCGGGGCCGCTGAGGCAGACACAAAATACAAGTAGAACATCCCCACTGGGATTTGGATAGGTTTGTTCATTAACTAGTTCATTTTGGTTTCATTCTTCAGCTGTGGCAGGGCCGACCCCCACGCTACTTACTGTACGCTTTGTACATACTGAATGTACATGATCATTTGTCGTTTTGAAGAGTGGTTGGCTATTAAAAGTCCTAAAATGTACTACCCCACATGCTCAACTCAGTCGATCTCCTTGGGGAAACTTGAGCACTTCGCAGTCTTGTTTGTTCGATGGGCTGACGTCCGACGACAATCGCGCACCGGCACGCAGTCGCTTAACGAGCAAAATCAAGGTAATGTTGACCGGGATCATGCAAATCCCAGACAGCACCAGGCACAGCGCGACCATGAGCATCGCGGGGGTTAGGTCACCTACACCGCTCAAGTCATAATCATTAAACGAATGGACAGGACGCACTGCACAATGACTGGTGCAAACTGCCGTAGGTGGTGGCGACAAACGAGCAATTCATCGATGCCTTGAACGCCGTCACGTCTGCGACCAGCGACGTCTGCAACGTGTGGCCCACCGCGTCCAACGATGTCACCAACCCCGTCACATTGTTCTACACATCATCGCAGATCAGGAGGTGGAGTTGTCCATCGCGCCATGCCAACCACCCAATCTGTAGCACGATGCAAACTCAAACAAAAGTACTCTTACCTTGAACGTCCTCGTGTAGTTTTGCAACTGCTGCATGCTGCCGTGCATGGTCGACACAAACGCCACGGCGTCCGAAGAGATCCTTAGGACGGTGCTTGTCTACATAGTATCAAAATTGAGTGTCATTCGCACACTAATTTAATTGCATGCGTATTCGCCAGCATGTAGGTGAACATCTCTCTCTCTCGATATGAAGTGGGAAAACCACTTCAAAACGTCTTCATATATGTACAACGTACGTTCGTGAACAACTCGGTGACAAACTGGTCATATGAACAGGGTGTGTTGCGGGCACATGTGGTCACCACGGTCGCCGCACAAGCCCTTCGATACGGGGCATACCGTGCCGCTATATATGAGGCGGGGGACATTCCATGATTTGTTGCGCCTTCCCCATTTGCTTCCCATGGTACGCCCATGGTCTCGATCGAATACTGGCCATCATGGGGGTTGCAATCACGGCTCAAAGTCGGAAAGTTGGCGGCCAGCGAGTTGCCATTCGTGTACAAATTGAGCACTTGCACGAGTTGAGACGCATCGACGCCAACGTCAAACGTCGTCGGGTCCGCCTAGTCACCCAACGATTGGTTTTAATCGATTAGTCAATCAATACATAAGCTGAATAGAAATTCTAGTGATATATAGTCATACCGACAAGATGGCTTGTGCAAACTGGTCCAATGAGTCGAACGTCAACATGCTGGACAGATCGATGGTCGGGATCTCAATCGCGTCTGCAAACGAAAGCGCGTCCTGCAGCTGAAGCGCCTCGAGGAGAGATTTGTCATGGAAACATGCGTTCAGGGCGACGCCGTTACTCGCGCCAAGCACAGGCGACCAGTCGCTGGCGACGATGGACGACAGCTGGCACGCGTCGCCAAGGAGCACGCTGAACGCCAGGAACAAGGCCGACACGACGAAAAGGAACACAAGTGCCACAAAGCCTAGACAGCCATGTCAGCGTCGTCGTCGTTCGTAATGAATGTTCAAGAATGTGGAGATGTGGTGTCTGTGACTACTGTACCAAGGATATACGCAACGTGGAGTCCGATGGCCAGACACCGCAGCGGCGTTAAGCCCAACACGATGCCAACAGCGCCCAGCACGAGGATCGCAATGGCCACGGCAAACAAGGCGAGAATTGCACCTCGTCGCGTGACCGTTTGCTCTTGCCACGTCACTTGCACATTCCTAGTCCATCAAATATATACATCGTTTAGAATTATCTCGACTGTCGCCCTCCGGGTCATATTCAATGGACAATTCAAATGTGTGCAATGGTGCCATCCTCCAATGGACAGTTCAAATGTGTGACAACAACTTGGAAAAACATTTCAAATATGTAAAACCAAACGTCGACATTCGACATCGATGGACAAGTCTAATGTGTGACATAATATATAACGTTGGACATTTCAAATACGTGAAAGATAAAACTTGTGTAGCCACAAACAAGGTCGTGTACCGAATGGTGGTGTTGGCGTCCAGAAACAGCGGTGTGAACCCGTTGACAGCGTTCACGCCAGCATCTACCGTGCTCTTGATCGAGTCCTTCGTATCCACGAGCGTTCGCACAATGGTATCCCTGCACCAAGTAAACAACACACACAATCGATCAATATGGCATTTCATCGTCGTCATGCTGTGAATACCGTGTGGATTGCAGCTGGGAGATGCCGTCTGCCGCCGCGGCGTCCATTTGGTTGGCTGCATTGGACGCTTGGACATTCACTTCGCTGCACACTTCACAGGGTATGCAGATGACATCGACCCCCTCCACACATCCGTGGGGCAGGACCACATCTGCCGTGTCGTGTGCGAACCTTCAATGTCAACGTGGTGAGGCTTTCAAACGACTCAAAACCACAAACTAGTTCCTTTGCAAATGACCATAATATACATCAATTACATCGAAGACAGATAACGTACTGTTGAAGCTGGGCCACGATGCCGTGCAGCCCGTTTTCAATGAAACCCGACGACACAAGCTGCGACGAAATGGCCGACACCGACCCCTCGACGCTGTCGCGCACGTGGACGAGGGGCGTTTCAGCCGAGTGAATCCACGCCACAATGCCTTGAACAAGCCCCAGTACGTCGCCAAAGAGGCGGTCGATGCTGTCGACAATCACGTTGTTGTACAAGAGCGCGCACAAGGTCAGGCCAATGATAACCCCCCCAAAGACAGCAAAGACTACCACGGGCACGGTCTTTTGCATGCAAGAGTAGCCGCGGGGACTGGCGCTGCGACCGCCGCACTTGTTGCAGCAGCACCGACAGCACAGAAACAGCAGCGTCGTTAGGAGACAGAGCACCCCGAGCACGATCGCCGGGGCGACACAAATCGACACGCTTTTCGCCCAGTCCATCAACGTGGCTTTGGCCAAGACCAACGACGGCAGGGTGTCAGTGGGCGCCGTGGCTTGCAAGATCGAGTACGTCGGAGATCGGTCCGTGGTGGCATTCCTCACGATGTCTATGGGGTTGTCATATTGAGGAATCGTTGTTATAAACAGGCTACGATGTCGCAGTTTTGTACCGTTCCAATAACAATTGGCCATGACTTCGCAATACCCGTTGGCATACTGCGCGGCAACGCTTGGCGACGGATACGGAGAAGGAATGCACGCCCCTGTGGCAGGATCTTTGAGCGCATTGGGGTGGCCATTGTGCACGAGGCGGATATACGGCGGCACGGGGGCGCTGTGGGCTGCTTGGACCGGCCACACCGCATTGAGCTCGTCCGACGGCATGTGGGGATGCTGGCTGTTCAAGTGGTCGCAGTAGTACACTTGTAGTGCAGCGTACAACTTTTGATAGAACGCAGGGGTGCCGCCCCGGAGTTTTTGCAGCGACGTCATCACGTTGCGACTGAGTGCGATGGCTTGAGATTGCTGGCCAGCTGTAAATGCAGGCAGCGGCTGTGCCGTTGACGACGTTGTTGTTGTGGCTTCAAGAACAGACGCGATGGCCGCTCTCTCGACACGAACTTCGTCGTCGACGCGAACGTACGATGTAGCATCAACGGAAAGCGCCAAGAGGCCAAGGCCCATGAAGGGGCTACATCGGAGAAGCCACATCACGAGGATGCTCCAGCGTTTTTGATAAGTGTGATGGTCGAAATGTCGACGAGTGCCAGTCGCGTAACGGCCCAAAAGGGGAGACTTGGCCGTTACAACCTTCTCTTGTGGAAGTCCACGACGGTTACACTTGAAGTTGGGGCCCAACAGGATGATGAGGCTAAGGTCGAGATGGCGGCGGACACGATGTGTGTGTACTTGGATAAACAAGCATGCAGTGGGACTCCCCCATCGAATGATGGATGACAAAACACTCAATTGGAACGCCTTACCCGAACAGGCTCTAACTGCCAAGGTCAGAACTTCTAAGCGTTCGCAAAAAGTTTGTACGCCAAGCTATTATTGTGCTCCGAAATCTGTCTAATATTGTCGATTTGGTACAAATTTGGGGAGGGGGTGCAATCGAATCGCGCCGACCAAACCGATCCACAATCGATCTGATTGGTTGAATTTCATTGAGAAGGTTTTGATTGGTTAATAATTTTGAGCTCATCTGAAGTAGCCAATCAAATCGATTTAAATTCCAACGAGAAACCACGCCACAACACAATGAAATTTCACTCTTGAAAGCACAATAACGTTATTGTCCTTTTACCCAAAATTTGGACTTTTGTGCTGATCCGTGAAATCCATCGATCGATTCTTTGTACTGAAGTTTGTATGTAAAAAAAGTTGTCTTGTGGTGATTGGAATCACACTAGTTTCTGGTTCAATGTTCGTGATGGTTTTCTGCAATCTGATTGGCTACATCCTTCTGCCGATTCTTCGTCGGTCGATTCATTCTCCATGTCGTTCCAGTTTAGAATAAACATAACAATATAGGCTTAGTATTAATATATGCGTCGCCAAATGTACAAGGATTCGTCACGCCTCCACCCTTTGCGCAAGTTGGCCATCGCAATTTCAAATGCTAGGATTGGATTTTAAAACCAAAAGGATTTTAAATCCGAATTGTTTGAAATGATGGAATACTCTTCCGTATAACTAGTAATCCTGGCGATCGTATCCGGAAAAGTGACGGCGCCACCAACTACTACAAATTGACCGACATCATGATTCGATCGCAACAGCGCCATGCTGTCGAGGCAAGTGAAATACGAAGGAGAAGAATGCGTGCCTTTGTAGATCTCAACATGGCAGTCTGAATGTAGGATGACGAAGTGGACGTGCCGCTGCACATGCTGGAGGACCTGGGCATCGAGTTTGAGTTTGAAATGGACACGGAGTCCATGTCTCGCGCGTACTTTGAGTGTGCAGGTCTGCATTCTGCTATTATCCTTGTCCGATACGTTCCCAACCTGACAGGTTCTTGGTGATACAGCCGAAGGCAACGTCGAGACCCTTCGCTTCCTCCTTAGTAGCGACGTGCATGGCGAATTGCTCAATTCTGTCGACGTCGATGGCTTTTCTGCGCTCATGATTGCCGCCGGTACGACGACAACATCCACTCCCTTCCTTTGCATTGCCATATATCCAAATGGAACTCACACATCTTGCGCCCTTTGCAGCGGAAGGCAACCGTGATGTGGTCCTGGAGCTGTTGCGTCGCAACGCCGATGCCAATCTGCGGACATTCGAGCTGAAGAGCGCAGCCCTTCACTTCGCCGCCAAGGTACATACATCCTTTCCTCACCATCCCACATTCTCTTGCCCAAGGAAGGTTTGTCTTTGCGATTCTGATGTGTCGACACCGCCTGTGTGCTTAGAATGGCGACCCAGAGATCGTCGAAGAAATGTGCAAACACACGACTCAAATTGACTTTTGGAACATCAACGCAGGTAGGCGACCATTCCTACCACTGCTACTTTCCATTTTTTGATCAAGTTGTTTGAATATAATACGTTAATAAATGATGGTACGCATTATATTTGGTCATTTCATTCAATTAGTTGTTCATTTTTTATGTACTCGTTTTTGCTTACAGTTAGATCACGCCCGAATTTTCACCCAATGAATATTTCAAGCATTTGGTTCAAAGTAATTCAAAGACGTTAGTTGTACTTTTCCCTGTCTCTAAACTGATATCGAACGACGCTCAATTGTTGCCAGTTCAGGAAAAAAAGGTCCCTTGAACGATTGTGCTTTCGAGTAAAATTTTGTGTTGTGGCGTGGTTTCTCGTTGGAATTTAAATCGATTTGATTGGCTACCTCAGATGAGCTCAAAATTATTAGCCAATCAAAACCTTCTCAATGAAATTCAACCAATCCGATCGCTTGTGGATTGGTTTGGTCGGCGCGATTCGATTGCACCCCCTCCCCAAATTTGTACTATCAAATCGACAAGACTTAAATTTTGGCGAAACACGTGATATATTTGGCAAAGTATGGAATTCTCCAAAGCTTGGATTCAGACAGAGAATGTTTCACTTTTTGCCCATTTGGGAGAAATTGCCAAAACATGGACAATTTTGGCCTTTTTCGACATCCAGATTCATCCTACACAATAAAAACTAAAAGATTGAAATTCAAATACATGCCTCATGTAGACACGCCGTTGGTGTGGGCATGCATCGAAGGCCGCGACGCCGCCGTGGCCGTACTCCTCCGCCACGGCGCCGATCCCCGCGTGACCAACCATTACGGCGCCACAACTCTCATGTGCGCAACCATGATTGGCGAAGACACGGACGACGCCACCGACATGGCGCGCAAAGTTATCGTCACCCTGCTCCTGACCATGTAATTATCACCCCAAACTCGTATCTATTTCAAGCGTAGTATTTCAAATGGATTTTAAACGTTGATGACTCTGATGGGGATATGGAATTGTATATATATATATATTTGATTGAGGGATTCGTTTGGACTGTAGTTGATTGTGTCGTATGCGTCGAGGGTGGTGCCTGTTTGGCGAGTAAGTATTTTATTTTTATATTATTATATGGGTAGGTGCCCCGATTTAGTCAACGTACAAGACCGAGACGGCAGCACGGCCATGCACTTGGCGGCGTCATGCGGGTACCTGCAATGCTGTCGCGCGTTGCTGGAGGGCGGCGCCGACATTACCATTCGAAATGCAGTTGGGCAAACGCCATTGGAGGTGCGGAAACCGACTCTTGATTGTTATATAGTTATGTATGATATGAATATTTATAGATATATTATATGTATTTATATATAAATATGTGTATATATTCATGTATATTTAGATTTATATCTATATTTATGAATATATATGTCGATGCTTTGGGTTGTGTTGTTGTACTGTCCGTTTGGGCGAGTCGAATGCAAAGAAATTTTCCATTGGGCCGATTTTAACGCAGTTTTTTTTAATCTCTTCGTCTTTGATCACATATTCTGCTTGCAGAAGCTTGAAGGCCCAACTACTAAACTGTGCTCTGCGTTCGCAAGCAACGATTCCAGCGATGAAACATAGTATTTTAATGAAGTAGACTATTTAAATAGTTAGATTTGCTCAATACTTTTAATAATTTGTACCTCTGATATAGTAATACTATATATAATTTAACTTTTATTTTATTTTAAGACTCAAGTATAGTATACTTCGATGTACCTGTTTTAAAAATGCGTTTGCATTAAGTACGTTCCATTAGGTGCTGAAACTTCATTTCAAACCTGGTGGAGTTGTATTCATTTCCAGGCAAAATAAAACCCCTCACGGACTGCACGTTAAACTCCTGAATTCAAATATACCTTTGGATCGACGAAATACCTCCTAGGGTAAAAGTTATGGGAGAAACCATTCTTGCATTCCTTCTGCCCAAACGGACAGTATACTAGTGATATCTGTCAAGTAATATAATATATATACACTAGGAATATATTTAACTATTAACTATATGTATATTTATGAATATATATGTGTATATATGTAGTAAGATATATATACGTCGAGGTTATGGGGCTATTGTCTGAGTGTTGTAGTTTTATCTTTCAAGTACTGAATTATTAGGTCGTCCCAATATAGAATGTTGTTCACTTACAAGCAGGAACTCATGTACAAAAGCCCTACAAAGTGCACTATGCATACAATCGTGGTTGTAATTGCCCTACAAAGTGCACTATGCATACAATCGTGGTTGTAATTGCCCTACAAAGTGCACTATGCATACAATCGTGGTTGTAATCGGTTGGTATTCTCGTCCAAGTAGTGCAAAGTTATCGTGAATGCCGAGGGACAATGCATTGTGCTTTCGAGTGAAATTTCGTGTTGTGGCATCTCGTTGGAATTT